GAGTCCTCCGTGGCCACGTCACTGACTCTGGGCCCAGGAGTCCTCGGGTCTCCTCACACTGCTTGCCAATCAGGTCCCCAACCGGGTCCACAGAAGCCCCAAAGAGATAATCTTGATAGATTTCCTTGAAGGACACAGGATGGTAATGGAGACTTATTAGAAAGAAGTTTTAAGAAAATTGAAAACTGCAATGGTGCGAAAAAGCCAGAAATGCTGCTCTCAGGATTTGTTTCCATCACAACAATTCACTTGCTCATTCTTTGAGGGTCTTAAGGGCTGTCCTATAAGAATTTTACTGGGAAACCTTTCATAATCCACTTTACAGCCCTGGTCTTACCCTTTCATACTTCTTTTTGCTCTTCACACTCAAAGAACATTGACAAAGAACACAGTTTGAATCACTTAAGGATGCTGAAATTGCTGTTTGATGTGGTGTAAATGGAAGAGTGCAGAATTCTTTGCCTTAAAAAGTTTATATAGAGAGAGGATATGTCAAAGAACAATAGTTTCATAGTTTGATATTTTGTTTAATAAAGATTTCTATGCTTTTTGTCCCAATACGTTTTGATTTACCCTCGTGTGTGTGTGCACGTGCACTTATGTGAGTGACACCACTAGAATCTAAAAGCCTTGGAATCTGGAATATTCTATTATTCACTCAGCAAACATTCATTGATATATGTGTGCCAGGCACTAAAAATATAATAGAGAACCAAACAGACAAGGCCCCTGCCCCCCATGAAGCTTATAGTCTACCTTCTCTCTCACTGTCCTACCTAGGTCTATATTTTCATGGTCGCCAATATTAACCATCATCGGCCCCAGTTTCTGAAGTCTCATTATGAGGTCAGAGTTCCTCAGGACACAATGCCTGGGGTCCAGCTTCTCCAGGTCCAGGCTACAGATCAAGACAAAGGCAAAGGTCTCATCTACACCATACATGGCAGCCAAGACCCAGGAAGTGCCAACCTCTTTCAACTGGACCCAAGCAGTGGTATCTTGGTAACTGTTGGAAAACTGAACCTGGGATCAGGACCCTCCCAGCATATGCTGACAGTTATGGTGAGTAAATTCAGAAATTGGTGTGGTTGTACTTACAAGCAGGTGCAATGTGATAGACACAATTAGAGGTATACTGAAACATCATTCTCACCTAATGAACCAGGTATACCAATGCCCATAATGATGATTCATGAGATAGAGCTATGGCATTTCAGAGCTGGTCAAAGGGACCTTCTAGAAGGACTGTCTGGGAGTGAGGAAAGAGATGGAATGATTGTCAAGGAAACTCCTGTCAACTAACCTTTGCTTTTTTTGGACTCACCCCAAATAGCTCCCAACAATTTTCTCCCTCCTTCATGACTTCATGACCACAGTTGTGGATTCATAGAATATCAGGGTTGGAAGGGTTCCAGAGACCAGTCCACCAAGAGGAAGGCAAAAGAACCTTGTGGGGCACAAAATTTAAGGAGGTACTCCCTCTCCAGGGCTTTGCAGGTCTAGGCATGCGACTTTGAATTCCTCCTTAAAGTTTGTACCCATGTACCTTCTTGCTTCATTCTACTTCTAGTGCAGGTCCACTTCTCTTGTTTTACTGGAGGCCCACAGGAAAAGAGACCTGCCCAGGGAGCTATAAAATTATTTATGGTGGAACCTGAACTGGAGTCCAACCTTCCTGACTCCAGGTTCAGGGTTCGCATGTGTTAGTTTATTCTCCTCTTGGCACATTAGTATATACAATATATTTTCAATACTATATTAAAGTCAGTTTATGAATGAGATGTTTTTCAGCAAAGAAAACTGGTTAACTTGATTTCACTCTGTGCTCCCCTTTCCTTGGCCATCTGTCTTAATTTCCTAAGAGGCTAAAAAAAGACCACAAGAAAGTGTCTTTAAAGTAAAGAAGTTTTATTTTCTCACAATTCAAGAGGCTGGAAGTTCAAATTCAGGCCATGGATCTAACAGACTATCTTTTTTTTTTTTTTTTTCAGTAGTGCCAGGAATTCCTGGTGTTTCCAGGTATTCTTTGATATTCATTGCTGCTCCTTGGAGTCTGTCTTCCCCCTGTGTCTGTTTTGCTCCTTATATAACTCAGAAATGATTACATTTAGAACTCTAATGCAATCTCATTAACACAGCAAGAGAAAAACCCTATTTCTAGACAAGGACTTCAATATACACATTTTTGCGGGAGACATAATTCAACCCATTACATCATGGTTCTGTTTTATTTTTGTTTTACATATAATGCTAATATCTTGAAGAAATAATTCTTGGAGACCTAATTTGGGAAATACTGAATTAAGTAAGCTTCTCTGCTCCTTTCTGACTTTTTCCTAAAGTGGAATTCTCCACTAAAATAACTAAACCTAGCAATCACCATTTGTCTGTCAGCTTGTCCTACTGTGGTGGCTTGTATGTTGCTGTGATGCTACAAGCTCTGCCATCGGTATTTTAAATTCCAGCAGGATCACCCACAGTAGACAAGTTTCAGACTAAGACAAACTGGAAAGGAGAGGTTGACTACTTCTGAATGCTTAGTCACTGGAAGCCATATGAATAGCAGTGGAATACTGTCAGATATCGTGCTGGAAGATGAAAACAATATAAGTAGCACAAGAACATTGTTAGATATAGTGTCAGAAGATAAGTTCTTCAGGCTGGAAAGCACTTAGAATATGACTGGGGAAGAGCTGACTTCTCAAAGGAGAGTTGATTATGATGACATGAATGGAGTAAAACTTTTGAGACTTTCATTTTCTAATAGAGCACAACTCAAATGAGGAAAAACAGCTGCAAACATCCATTAATAACTGGAAAATGGAATGCACAAAGTAAATTGGAAGCTGTCAAAATGAAATGGAATGCAGACAGATCATTATCCTAGGCATTAGGGAGGTAAATTGGACTGGTATTGGCTATTTTGAATCTGATAATTATGGTTTACTATATAGGGAATGACAAATTCAAGAGGAATGGTGTGGCATTCATCATCAAAAAGAATACTTTTCAAGATCTGTCTACAAGTACAATGTTATCTGTACAGAAGCCTACATAGAAGCCCAGTTCATACCATTGTCATTCAATTTATGCACCAGTCATAAAGCCAGTGATGATGAAACTGAAAAATTCTACCAACTTCTTCAGTCTGAAATTGATCAAACATGCAATCAAGATGTGTTGATAATTACTGGTGATTGAAATGTGATGTTGGAAACAAAGAAGAAGGATCAGTAATTGGAAAATATAGTCTGTGATAGAAATAATGTGGAGATTGCATGATAAAATTTTGCAAAACCAATGACTTATTCATTGCAAATATCTTTTTAAAACAACATCCAAGGTGATTAATACACATGGACCTCACCAGAAGAAATACACAGGAATCAAATTGACTACATCTGTTGGAAGAGATGGTAGAAAAGCTCAATATCATCAGTCAAAACAAGGACAGAGACAACTGTAGAACAGATTATCAATTGCTCATGTGGAAGTTCAGGCTGAAGCTGAAGAAAATTAAAACAAGTCCACAAGAGCGAAAATATGACCTTGAACATACCCCACCTGAGATTAGAGACTATGTCAAGAATAGATTTGATACATCAGACAGTAATGAGCAAACACCAGAAGAGCTATGGGATGACATCAACAACATCATAAAGAAAGAAAGTAAAAGGTCGTCAAAAAGCAGAAAAGAAAGAAAGAAAGAAAAGACCAACATGAATGTCAGAAGAGACTCTGAAACTTGCTCTCCAGTGTAGAGATGCTAAAGGGAATGGAAGAAATGAGGAAGTAAAAGAACTGAACAGAAAATTTCAAAGGGCAGCTCGAGAAGACAAAGTTAAGTATTAAAATGAAATGTGCAAAGATCTGGAGTTAGAAAACCAAAAGGGAAGGACATGCTTAGCACTTCTCAAGCTGAAAAAAAACACTGAAGAAAATATTTAAGCCTCAACTTACAATATTTTGAAGCATTGCAAAATTTCATGGACAAAATATTGAATGAGTCAGAAAAATTCAAAAGAAGATGGAAGTTACACACAGTTATTGTACCAAAAAAGGAACGATTGATGTTCAACCATTTCAAGGGTAGCATATGATCAAGAACTGAGGGTACTGAAGGAGGAAGTCCAAGCTGCACTGGAGGTGTTGGTGAAAAACAAGGAATTGCCCAAACACAAATTGAAATCTTTTAGCGAACTGATGCAGCACTGGAAACACTCACTAAGAAATTCGGAAGACAACTACCTGGTCAACTGATTGTCCAAAGAGAGGTTACCCAATGGAATGTGGAAAACATTGAGTAATATCATTAATATTCCAATCAAGTAAATTTTTCTGAAGATAATTCAAAAACAGTTGCAACAGAACATTGACAGGGAACTGCCATAATGCTAAATTTATTTAATCAGAAAAAAAGAGCAAAATTGGGGCAATATTTGAAGGAATACAGAGAGTAACAGTTAGGCGTATTTTTCACGATTATTCTATTTCATTGACCTTCAGCTAATCCTGGCTCCTCCCATCCCATCCCATGCCCTCTTGGGCCCATAGGTCCGAGACCAGGAGATGCCGATCAAGAGGAACTTTGTGTGGGTGACCATCCACGTGGAGGATGAAAACCTCCACCCACCCCGTTTCATCCAACTCCACTTCGAGGCAAGTGTGCCTGATAGCAAAGCCCCTGGCACCGAACTGCTACAGGTCCGAGCCATGGATGACGACCGGGGAGCCAACGCTGAGGTCCACTATTCCATTCAGAAAGGTGAGAGAGCTGGACATGTGTTCAGATCATGGGAGATGGGCCTTTGGGAATAAAGGAAAGCATCAGAGGCATGGTTTTGAAAATGAATCAAGTGTCAAGCTCTCCACTATGTTTTGGAAAATGATAATTCTAGAGCATTCCACAGAACTATAATGACCTAATTTAATGGATTTCTAAAGGTGGTATAATAATGAAGGGACTTACTAAAATTATGGGGAAATTTGCATATACATTATACACCCACTCCTTCACTGTTCATAAGGTTAGGTTCAAAAGACCAGGTCATTATGCAGAAATAGACGTTATGCGAGAATGGAGAATGATATCCGATAACAAAGTGGACTTCTCATAACATAACTGCCAAACCCCTGAGAATCATGGTCCAGTCAAGTAGACATATACCTTTCACCATCACAGTCAATGTGGCATTCGCTAATGGGTAAAATAGTTGGATAATAGATTTTTTACTATTGTTGTAAATGTGAAATGTTGAATAACAAGATAGTCAAGTGAAGTAAATGAAGTGTAGGTGGAGAAACCTACCTATCTCTACAGGTGTATGCACTACTTAAAGTTCATGCAGAGTTTTAAAATGTAGTAACTTTGTGCATCTATAGAATCAACCAAGTGCTGTCACGTTGTCCCCAAGTCATGGCAATCGTATGTGTGTCAGAAAAGAACTGTGCTCCATAGGGTTTTAAAAAGATGATCACCAGGTTTGAGCCTCTAACTTTTTGGTTAGTAGCCAAGCACATGAACTGTTTGTATCGCCCAGGGACTCCATGTATAATAGAAGGGACCCACAAATACTTTACAAGGTACATGACATCATTTTAGGAGTAACTTTCATTTTCTGTTAGTGCCACATCATTATTTATCATCAATAATATGGTTTTATCTCAATGGGAATAATATTACCTGTACCACAAAGATTTTGTAAAAATTAAAAGAAAAAAGGCATATTAATATATGTTGTAAACTGTGAAATACCAGTTTAATAACTAGGGGTTGTTGCTATCATGGGAATCTTGGTGTAGCATGGCAGGTTAATGTACTAAACTGCAAAGTTGGTTTGGATTGCAAGGTTGGAAGTTCAAGCTCACTAGCTGCTCCTCAGAAATCCTATATAGGGTCGCTACGAGAGTTGGGACTGACTCAATGGTACTTAACAACAACAGCAGCATTATTATCATTGTTAAGTGTTAATTATCACTAATTAATATAACAAAATGCTAATGATAATCAGTATTCAACAAACTATTAGTGATCATTTATGATGGTTGAAAATGCATGATGTTGTTGTGTTGTTATGTGCCATGGAATCGGTTCCGACTCCCGCAGAACAGCTGATAGTTTCGAACTGCTAACCATGAGATTAGCAGCCCGATTTGCAACCACTACGCTACCAGAGCTCCACTTAGTCTTAATTATGGAGACTCCTGGTGTGGCACTGTAGGATCAGTACTGGACTGTAAGCCACAAGGTCAGTGGTTCAAGCTCACCAGCCACTTCTCAGAAACCCTACATAGGGTTGATATGAGTTGGAACTGACTCAATGGCACTTAACAACAAATAATAATTATTATATCTACTAATAATTAGTGCATTACAGAACTAGGTCCTGTGGAGGGACAAAGATGAGCCTGTTTTACTCTCTACCTTCACAGAGCAAAATGCTCATTTACTGTGTGTCCTTTTGTTACACACTTTCAATAAATCAGAGGTTTAATTTTTTTTTTTTTTCTATTTTGAAGAAACAGAAGTTGTTATACCTTGCCAGTATTTAGAAGAAGTCTTTCCTTGAAGAATAATAATGCAAATTATAATCTTATTTGTCTGATTTTTGTGGTTTATGAAGTATAATCTTATTTTATCTTATTACTAACACTTGATGGAGATAACAATTTTATTATATTATTATATTATTTATTTATATTTTAGAAAAATGATATATATTATATATTTATAATATATTTATTTATGATAATATGTATTTTTAAAAGATTTTTCTGATTCTATAAATGATACATGCTCACTTAAAAATAATATAGAAAGTACAGAAATACATAAAGAAGAAAATAGCATTCAGCCATAATTTTCATTACCCTGAGAGAATAATTTTGTGTGTTTACTATTCTTCTTTTTTCTATGTATCCTTTTGTAATGTTGAGATCATAATGAATATACAAATTTGTGGTCAATTTTTTTTCTCCTTGGTATAACATATTACAATTATATTTAGATAGGATACTTGACTACATTGATAGTTGTTAAGTGCCATCGAGTCAGTTCTGACCTATAGTGACTCTGTATAGGCTTTTCTAGGAATGGCTGGTGGCTTTGATCTGCCAACATTATGGTTCAAATTGACCTTGCAGTCCATCACATTATCCTGAATTGTTGTGGTTGTTGTTGTTGGGTGCCATTGTGTCAGTACTGACTATGGCTACCCTATGCACAGCAGAACGAAACACTGCTCAATCCTGGGCCAACCTCACAATTGTTGCACTCTTGAGCCCATTGATGCTGCCACTTTGCCAATCCATTTTGCTGGGGAATAGAACCTCTTTAAACCTGCTTCTTACTCTTTGAAGTCATGTTCTTTGACTTAATACCATCTATCTGACAAAACTAAATTGGGAACCATCTTAGGAGTCGGTGGTGCAAACATTTAACATGCTTCACAGCTAATGAAAGGTTGGTGGTTCAAATTCACCTAGAGGTGCCTCAGAAAACAGACCTGCTGATCCACTTCTGAAAAATCAGCCATTGGAAACTCTGTGGAGCACAGTTGTACACACACGGTCACCATGAGTTAGAGTCCGTTGATTTGGTCACCTAGAGAATGATTCCAAAGAGTTGAAGAATCAGATTGGATGTTTTATAAGGAAGCACAACTATCTGCTTTTTCACTGAAAATATACACCTATGTGATAAAGAGAATAAAAACAGTAAACAAAATTTCCCCCTAGTGTAAGCCCTGTGCCTGTAGTGGGGTGCAGAATTACTCTGGTGTTATTCAGCATTGGGACAGACCATCCATCAGGCATGGGGAAAGTCTTCTTTGTTGCTTCTTATTCTGACTCCCTGATTCCATCATGGATGAAGCTTTGATTCAATGCTAAAATGTCTTCACATCTTCTCTAACATTTGCTACTCTTCCTTTTTACAAAAGCAGCAAAAGATATTATTCAGATTTTAATGAGGTACTTCTTCTCATTGCCTTATTTTTATAGTAACTTTCAATTTATGGTAAGCAATCATGGTTTTTTAAATCAGGAAATGACATAAAGTTGTCTTTTAAAACTATTATAAAAGTAAAAGAAAAAATATCAAGAAAAATAATATCAGATAGCATGGATACCGACTGTGTATTGAAAAAAAATGCAAAGATGATAAAAGAGCACCTGAAGTTTAGAAAATACATTGTTGTGGAAAGGGTATTTGACCTCATGATGTGGGTGTTCTATCCAGTCCCTGCCATTCTTTGCCACTCACTCCTCAAGTTTGGCAAAGAATTTTCCCATCACAGACCATAAGTGGAGCAGACAAGGTGTTTTTTTAAAGTCCCTGTCAGTTTTGACAGTTTATGACTCCATAGGTATCATTTATCAAGTATACTACCAAAGGTGTTAAAAATTATAATTATGTAGAGGTTGGTTCAAAATTCTGTATAGTGTACTGAAACTTTTCCAATGATCATCACCACTGAAATATAGCCTGTGGAGCACAGTGGAGTCCTGGTGTGGTCTGCACTGGACTTCAAGGTCAGTTTGAGCTGCAAGGTTGGTGGCTCAAGTGCACCAATTGCTCCTCAGAAACCCTACACAGAGTTGCCATGAGTTGAAATTGACTGGACTGCACTTAACAGTAACATTATGTGCACTGTGTTGGTCATTTCAAAACTATACATATGTGTTATTGTTTTTAAGTGACATTGAGTCAATTCTGACTCATAACAACACTGTACAGGGTACAGGGTTTCCTAGGAGCAGCTGGTGGGATTGAACTGTTGATCTTTGGGTTCAAAGTCCAGTGCTTATCCTATAGCACTACACCAGGAGTCTCTCTCTCTCTCTCTTTCTCCCATAAAGATTTACAGCCTCGGAAACCCTGTGCAGGGTCACTATGAGTATTTAACAACAATATATATATGTATGTATAGTTGTTGTTAAGTGCCATCGAGTTTTTTCCAACTCATAAGGACCCTGTGTAGGGTTTCTGAGGAGTGACTAGTGAGTTTGAACAGCCACCTTTGTTATTCAAACAGACCTCCCTGGTGGGGTGGGTAGGTACTTTATCCTAAGAACCACACCAGGACTCCATATATATGTACATCCCAGGGGGTGGGTAGTGCAAAAGTTAAGTGCTCAGTTGCTAACCAACTTACTGGAGGTCCAATTTCACTAACAGGTGCCTTGGAAGAAAGCAGAAGCAGATAACTAGGAGAATGGCTATCTTATGGAGATTCTTACATTGAATAGTTGTACTCTGATGCACATGGGGTTGCCATAATGGGGAATCAAGTCCCCAACAATTGCTTTGTTTACTTTAAAAAGATATCCTATAGTTACTATAAAGTCCCTGGATGGTGCAAACTGTTTGTTTTAGACTATTTACTTAAAGGTTACTGGTTCAAACACCCAGCGACATCACAGAAGGAAGTCCTGGAGATGTCCTTCTGTAAAGATCACAGTCAAGAAAACTCTGTGGAGCAGTTCTACTGTGAAATACGGGGGGCCACCATGAGTTGGAATCAACTCAGTGATAACTGATTTATCTATATACAGTCACTGTTGTTGTTAAGTGCCATCAAGTCGGTTCTGACTCATAGCGACCTTGTATAGGATTTCCAAGGAGCAGCTGGTGAGTTTGAACCACCAACCTCGTGGTTAGCAGTCCAATGCTTATCTTACAGGGCCACACCAGGTGTTCAAAATATTTACAGAAGCAGACAACCTCATATGTCTCCCATGGAACTGTGGTGGATTTGAATCACCAAACTTGCAGTTAACAGCCCAATTCCATACTAAATACAGAATGCAGATTTGGCCCTGCCCAGGTTTTATGTGGTAGCCTCTTTACTCATATAAAAAGCTTAGTTGATACTTCTTGAGGGTGTGCAAATGTTCAGTTTGTCTTTTCTGTTTTAGGCAACAGCAAAGGTTTCTTCAGCATCAATGCCCAACTAGGCATCATCACTATAGCCCAGAAGTTTGATCAGGCAAATCATGTACGGCACACCCTGACAGTGAAGGCTGAAGATCGAGGCTCCCCACCGCGGCATGACTTGGCTACAGTGGTTATTCATGTCTACCCCTCAGATAGTAGTGCCCCCATCTTTTCAAAAACTGAGTACTTTGTAGAAATCTCTGAATTAATCACTGTTGGCTCTCCGATCCTCCTTATCTCAGCTACAAGCTCCTCCGAAGTTACCTATGAGTTAAGAGAGGGAAACAAGGATGGTGTATTTTCCATGAATTCATATTCTGGCCTCATCTCCACTCAGAAGACCTTGGACCATGAGAAAATCTCATCTTACCAGTTGAAAATCCGAGGCAGCAACATGGCAGGTGTATCAACAGATGTCATGGTGCTAGTTTATATAATTGATGAAAATGATAATGCACCTGTGTTCTTAAAGCCAACTTTTGTGGGTCAAATTAGTGAGGCTGCTCCCATGCACAGCATGGTCGTGGATGAAAACAACAGCCCTTTTGTGATTCGTGCCACCGACAGTGACAAAGAAGCAAATTCCTTATTGGTCTATAAAATTTTGGAGCCAGAAGTCTCAAAGTTTTTCAAAATTGATCCCAGTATGGGAACACTGACTATTACATCAGAGATGGATTATGAAAGCATGCCTTTATTCCAATTCAGTGTCTATGTCCACGACCAAGGAAGCCCCATCTTATTTGCACCTAAGGCTGCCAACATTATCATCAATGTGAAAGATGTGAATGACTCTCCTCCCAGGTTCTTAGACCCAATATATGAAGTAGCAGTTGTTCAGCCCATTCATCAGGGAATGGAGCTTCTCATGGTTCAGGCTAGCGATGATGACTCAGAAATCAATTATAGCATCAAAACAGGCAATGCTGATGAAGCTGTCACCATCCATCCAATCACTGGCCTCATCTCTGTGCTGAATCCTGCTCTCCTGGGACTCTCTCGAGAGCTCACTATCAGGGCTTCTGATGGCCTGTATCAAGACACTGCACTGGTAAAAATTACTTTGACCCAAGCCCTCAACACAAGCTTACAATTTGACCAGGATGTCTATTGGACATCAGTTCAGGAGAACTTGCAGAACAAGAAGGCATTGGTGATTCTTGGTGTCCAGGGAAATCATTTGAATGATACCCTTTCCTACTTCCTCTTGAATGGAACAGATCTGTTCTGTATGGTCAGATCAGTAGGCGTGTTGCAGACAAGCGGTGTGGCATTTGACCGAGAACATCAGGACATTCATGAGGTGGCTGTGGAAGTGAGAGACAATCGGACCCCTCAGCGAGTGGCTCAGGCTGTGGTCAGAGTTTCCATTGTTGATGTTAATGATCATCCCCCTCAATTTCAGCATCTACCCTACTACACGACCATTCAAGATGGCACAGAGCCAGGCGATGTCCTCTTCCAAGTATCTGCCACCGATCAGGATTTGGGGGTAAATGGAACTGTCACATATGCATTTGCAGAAGACTACACATATTTCCGAATTGACCCTTACCTTGGAGACATATCACTTAAGAAACCCTTTGATTATCAAGCTTTAAATAAGTATCGCCTCAAAGTCATTGCTAGAGATAGAGGCACCCCATCCCTCCAGACGCAGGAAGAGGTTCTTGTCACAGTGAGAAATAAATCCAACCCTTTGTTTCAGAGTCCTTACTACAAAGTCAGAGTGCCTGAAAATATTACACTTTATACCCCAATCCTCCACACTCAGGCCCGGAGCCCAGAGGGGCTCCGGCTCATCTACAACATTGTAGAGGAAGAACCTTTGATGTTATTCACCACTGACTTCAAGACTGGTGTCTTAATGGTGACAGGACCATTGGACTATGAATCTAAGATCAAACACGTATTCACAGTCAGAGCCACAGATACAGCTCTGGGGGCATTTTCTGAAGCCACAGTGGAAGTCCTGGTGGAGGACATCAATGATAACCCTCCCATTTTCTCCCAATTGGTCTACACCACTTCAGTCTCTGAAGGCTTGCCTGCACAGACCCCTGTGATTCAACTGTTGGCTTCTGACCAGGACTCAGGGCAAAATCGGGATGTTTCCTATCAGATCGTGGAGGATGGGTCAGATGTTTCAAAATTCTTCCGGATCAATGGGAGTACAGGGGAAATGTCCACAGTTCAAGAGCTAGATTACGAAGCTCACCAACACTTTTATGTGAAGGTCAGGGCCATGGATAGAGGAGACCCTCCACTCACTGGTGAAACCCTTGTGGTTGTCAATGTGTCTGACATCAATGACAACCCCCCAGAGTTCCGACAACCCCAATATGAGGCCAATGTCAGTGAATTAGCTACCTGTGGACATCTGGTTCTCAAAGTCCAAGCAATTGACCCCGACAGCAGAGACACCTCTTGTTTGGAGTACCTGATTCTTTCTGGCAATCAGGACCGGCACTTCTCCATTGACAGCTCATCAGGAATCATTTCCATGTTTAATCTTTGCAAAAAGCACCTGGACTCTTCTTACAGATTGAAGGTAGGTGCTTCTGATGGTGTCTTCCAAACAGTTGTGCCTGTGTACATCAACACCACAAATGCAAACAAGTACAGCCCAGAGTTTCAGCAGCACGTTTATGAGGCAGAATTAGCAGAAAATGCAAAGGTAGGAACCAAAGTGATAGAGTTGTTAGCCATAGATAAAGATAGTGGTCCCTATGGCTCTGTGGATTATACCATCATCAACAAATTAGCGGGTGAGAAGTTCTCCATACACCCCAATGGCCAGATCACCACGTTGCAGAAACTGGATCGAGAAAACTCAACAGAAAGAGTCATTGCTATTAAGGTGATGGCTCGGGATGGAGGAGGAAGAGTGGCCTTCTGCACTGTGAAGATCATCCTCACAGATGAGAATGACAACCCTCCACAGTTCAAAGCAGCTAAGTACACCGTGTCCATTCAGTCCAATGTCAGTAAGGACTCTCCAGTTATCCAGGTGCTGGCTTACGATGCAGACGAAGGTCGGAATGCAGATGTCACCTATTCAGTGGACTCAATGGAGGGCCTAACTGAAGAGGTCATTGAAGTCAACCCAAGCACTGGTGTTATCAAGGTGAAAGAGAGCCTGGTGGGATTGGAAAACCAAGCCTTTGACTTCAAAATCAAAGCCCAAGATGGCGGCCCACCTCACTGGGACTCACTGGTACCAGTTCAACTCCAGGTGGTTTCTAATGAAGCACCCTTGCCCAAATTTTCTGAACCCCTGTATACTTTCTCTGCACTTGAAGACCTTCCAGAAGGGTCAGACGTTGGGCTTGTTAAAGCAGTGGCGGCTCAGGACCCAGTCATCTATAGTCTAGTGCAGGGCACCACACCAGAGAGCAACAAGGATGGTGTCTTCTCCTTGGACCAAAACACAGGGGTCCTAAAAGTGAGGAAAGCCATGGACTATGAATCCACAAAGTGGTACCAGATTGATGTCATGGCACATTGCTCCCATGAGGACACCGACTTGGTCTCCTTGGTCTCTATTAACATCCAAGTAAAGGATGTCAATGACAACAGGCCTGTTTTTGAGGCTGATCCGTATAAGGCCTTCCTCACTGAGAATATGCCAGTGGGGACCACAGTCATTCAGGTGACTGCCAATGACCAGGACACTGGGAGTGATGGCCAGGTGAGCTATAGACTGGCAGTGGACCCTGGTAACCATGCCCATGAGCTGTTTGCCATTGACAGCGAGAGTGGCTGGATCACCACACTCCAGGAACTTGACAGTGAGACCCGTCAGACCTATCGCTTCCATGTAGTGGCCTATGACCATGGTCGCACCCTCCGGCTATCTTCTCAGGCCTTGATTGAGGTTTCCATCACAGATGAGAATGACAATGCTCCTCGTTTTGCTTCTGAAGATTACAGAGGATTTGTGGTTGAAAACAGAGAACCTGGTGAACTTGTGGCCACTTTGAAGACTCTGGATGATGATATTTCTGAGCAGAACAGACAGGTCACCTGCTACATCACAGGTAAGCATACCTCGTCTTAGATTGAAAATACTGGGGTACATTGACAAAAGCTCAGTAAGGGGACCCTTACACATGAGTGTAAAGTTCTGCCTCTGCCATTGTATTAGTGGCTAAAAGGAAAATTCTAGAAAGAAGGTTATATAATAAACTATGAATAACATTGTGAAGAATAGGAATTTCAGAAGTGTGATCTTGGGCAAGTCACTAAACTTCCAATGCCTCAGTTGTTCATCTAGCAGGGATGGGAAACTTTTCTGCCAAAGTTTATAACATAATTTGTGGGCCATATGAAATTATCAGCTTAAAAATTAGCCTGCTGCATTTGGTCAATCATTTAATTAACTCACCCCTAATGTGATGGCTGGACCTGCCTTGGCAGGACCAGACCAAATGATTTCTTGGGCCTTATTCATTCTGCTGTGCATAAGGTCACTATGGGTCGGTACTGACTCGATGGCACCTAACAACAACAACAACATATGGCCCATGGGCTGCACATTCCCCACCCCTGATCGGTAGACTGTGAGATCATTCATCTCTCAGGAATGCTGGTTAGATGTAAAGGGAAAAATCTCCAAAAATCCCTTATAATTTAGGGAAGCTTATCATTTTAGGTGGTGCAAAGAGGAGCCCTTATTATTCTGTATTATTCTATGTGGTGTAGATGGAGACAAGATTAATGTTCTAAGTGGTCCATTTTTCAGGAGTTGGAGGAAATTGACAGATGACAGACTTTGTAGAGTAGTGTCCTGCTCAGGGCAAATTGTGGATACAGAAAGTCATTTTAGTCCATCATAGGATCTAAAACATTGAGTAACAATATTTCTTTAGACAGAACGTACAGTCCAGTCCTCTTATTTCTCTGCTGTTGGCACTAAGACCTAGATGTGGTGGGGGTGGGGAGTGGATTCACGCAAACTCACACCTGAACCTGAACTTGCATCAGGGTTAAAACCACACCTGACAAGTTGCTTTCCTTCAAGGCTCCCTATTATAAACCCAAGTGGCTGTACCAGGCAACTAGTGGACACAAAAATTTCTTTCCTTCTCAGTGTCCTTTTCCTCCCCTCCCTGGTTGCATGTCATTTCCATTCCACAGTCTTATGGCTCCTTCTGCTTTCATAGCTGTTCGGTGAAGAGTTAGTGAGCCTGAAGAGTCTATGTAGTAGTAGTAGTAAAGCGCCATTGAGTCAGTTCTGACCCATAGTGACCCTGTATAGGGTTTCCGAGGAGCTGCTGGTGAGCTTGAACCACCAACCTTGCAGTTCAAATGGCTTTGCAGTCTGGCACATTAACCCACAGCACCACACCAGGACTCCATGATGAATCCTAATCACCTGGAGACAGAGCTTTGAAACACAGAGACTAAGGAAAACAGAATCTTACTATCTTAAACTATCAAACTCTTAAAAGCATAAAGGTCTTAAAATCTCAGGATAATAAAATAATAAAAGTCAATTAGTAAAATAAATAAATAAATCCTAGATTGTTGGGGTAATTGCATCTTGGGACTTTTGGAATCTTAAAATCTCTTCATTGAAAAATCCATTTTCCTGCAATTCTGCTAATGATTGGTATCCAGGAAAGATGACTTAGAAACAAATACTACGTAATCTCTAGGTAGTCTCCTTCCTGTAACCTCTAGGTAATCTTTGTCTTTCATTGTAACATAAAACCTCAGAGAGTATAGTGCTGTTGATTACTTCCTACCCCTCCACGGTTATTTTGTGTGTGTGTGTGTGAATTGAGTTATTGTTTGCATGGGAGAACATCAGTTTTCCACTCATCTTACTTTGTTTTTGTTTCATTGTAATAAGTACAATCCCCTCCATGCATCATCATTTAACAGTATTTGCTTCTATTCCCTCTGGTTTTTGTTTTTGTTTTTTTTATGTACACAAAACCTCTCGGGAATATGTAATCATTTAAGCAACCAAAGGGCACATTCTGCAAGCCAGCTTCCTGCCTACCAGCACACAGCCTTTCTCTTTCCATGAGTCTAGAGTCCTCAGCTGCTCTATCTCTCCATGCCATCACCTCTGCCTCCATCTCTGGTGTTGCTGCTTCTCTGAATAGGGTCCCACTTTCCATTCATACTCTTTTCTCTTAAGGTCCTAGGGTCCTCTGTTCCTGGAATGTAAGATTAACTGCTCCCCACATTATGTTACAAAACTTCTTCCTTCACAGTTGTGACAATTGCAATTATTCATGATAAAAATTACTCACTGTTGAATCAAAAATCCTATCTCCATTTCCTTTCACCAGGCCCATCTATACAAGATAAAAATTATTCAGTGGGGAATCTACCTTCCGTGTACACTCTGAAACTCAAGTCCCTCTTGCAAACTTGCAAGTCAGCCACTTCATGCCTTTATAGCCCCCTCCTCCTCATTTTAGGTTTGTTGTTGTTGTTAAGTGCCATTGAGTCGATTCTGACCCATAGCTATCCTGTATAGGATTTCCAAGGAGCAGCTGGTGCTCTTGAATCACCAACCTTGCAGTTCAAATGACTTTGCAGTCTGACACACTAGCCCACAGAGCCACAACAGGACTACCATTTAGGTAGCCAGTGATTAAGTTTCCCATCCCTATCAACACTGTACACTGAGGGGATAAGCTTGATCCTTGATGTGAAGACTCCTTCCCTCTCCCTTGGTATTTTGAGCTACTACATCCGTAAGTATAGGTCAAGAGCTCATCAAATTGTAGCAGTTTATACTTGCTTCCTTTATCAAATTTCTTTATGTCTCTCTAGTCAAGCTCTAGTCATCATGCCATCAAAGCTAGGTCAAATGGGTACTATCTGCAGGTTTTGGTGTTCTTGTGCATCTCCCCTCATTTTATATTGAGGGGCTGCTTCACTCTCAGCTCTAGCCCTCCATGGCTAGGTCAATGTCAAGGGGCTCAGGAGTTCCCAAGTCTCCCCAAATTTCAGACCAATCAGCCCTTTCTCCTCTTTCTCATCTCAAGGTGGACGGGAGTCTATGGAACATGGTTGAACTCAGATCATAGCTTCATTGCTGCCTTTCTCCCACTTCCACTCACATGTAGACCAATGTGGTCACCAGCTAGCTTCCATGCCTGCTTGTGTGTTCTCTTGGAGTTTCAGTCTTGGAGGGGGGGCGTGGTTTGTTCTGAAGGGATTTGATTGGTTGCCTTAATGTCTCCCTGGCAAACAGCTTGCTTGTTCTTGTAATAGCCAAACAGATTGCCATTTTTGTTTTTTCCTGCTGGTCTTTTTTTCAGAATGTCTACCCCTCCACGTTTGCATTTATTAAACCAACCGAACCCACTGCCATTCAGTTGATTCTTACTCATAGGAATCTATATAAGGTCTCTGAGGCTGTAGCTCTTTATTGGGACAGAAAATCTTATCTTTCTCCTGCAGAGTTGGATGGGCTTGAACTGCCACTGGTTGGCAATCCAGTGTTTATTCTCCAGCATCACCAGAGCTCCTTAACTGTTTCACAGCCCTTGATATCATAGAGTTTTTGTATAGACCTGGAAAGTGCTTGCTTCTCTTTAACTTTCCCCACTGCCTTCCAGGCCACAAAATGTTGGAAGCCTGTCCTCAGCCTTGTCATTAGGAGCTGTGTCCTCTCACTGATGATTCTACTTTAACAGCAGCCTTTTGAATATAGAAACAGTGACACAACACCAAAGAACCAACTCAGTGTAGAATTTTGGATCCCTAGAAGGCCATTAAGAAGCCCTTGTAGTACAGTAGTTAAGTGTTCAATCACTAACCTAAAGGTTCAAACCCACCAGTTGCCCTTAGGAGAAACATGGCCTGGGTGGCACTATTGGTTAAGCACTTGGTTATTAACCAAAAGGTCTGTAGTGTGAACCTACCCAGGGCTCCTTTGAAGAAAGGCCTAGCAATCTATTTCTGAAAACTTGGCAAAACTGACTCAATGGCAACTAGTTTTGGGGTCGAAGGTCATTATTGGTAGTCTAGTAGTAGAATTCTCACCCTGTATGTGGGAGACCTGAGTTTGATTTCTGGCCAATTCACTTACTGCATAGCATCCATGCATCTCTTAGTGATGGATTGTGTGTTACTAAGATGCTGAGGAGGTGTCAGCAATGCTTCTAGACTGTCAGATTACAGAGAAAGACATGGTGTTCCATTTCTGAAGGTTAGTCAATGAAAGTCCTATGAATCACAATGGTTCCATCTATAATTGATCATAAGAAGGGTGTAGGACCAGCAGCATTTAGTCCCATTATGTATGGGATCACCATGAGTTGGGGGCAGGTAATAATAGCTACAGAAGGTAATTAAGGAAGAAATATTTGCCTTTCCCAGCAATCCTAAAACAGGTGTCAGGTGGACAGCCACCTCTGACACCTGGTTTGTTCCTGTTCCTTGGTTTCAGAAAGCTCTGTGCTCTTTTTTTAGAGGGAGACCCCCTGGGCCAGTTTGGCATCAGCCAAGTTGAGGATGAGTGGAGGATTTTCTCAAGGAAGACCCTGGACCGCGAACTCGTGGCCAAGTACTTGCTCAGCGTTACAGCCTCCGACGGCAAGTTTCAGGCTTCAGTCCCTGTGGAGATCTTTGTCCTGGACATCAATGATAACAGCCCCCAGTGCTCACAGGTGAGAGCCTGGGAGAGTGGAGTGAAGTGGAGTTGGGTGGGAATGGAGGCAAGGAAACTGGAGAATGAGAAAGACCTAGGGGACCACTTCTGAGGCTGGCCTTAGACTCATGCTATGGAGCAAGGGTCATTCTAGGCAGTTCTTTGATCCCGATAGGGATGTCATACAGCTCTTCAGGACCATTAGCCCACACCTCACCTCCTATACTTCCTGAAAGTCACCAGCTGTTTGAAAAAAAATATCCAGAGGTAAAGTAACTTCTGCAACCTCCAAGCACACGCTGCCATGCTCAGTGGGCAACCCTGTCTTCACTGCTCAGCTTGTTGGCATGGCTCACTATTATTAGATGCATTGAGAGAGACATGTCCCCAGAGACGCCCCTCTACCCACCCTCATATATACCTATACCCACTTCTGCATGGGAAATACAGACCAATGCAGATGCTCTCGTTTGTGTTATGGTCATGCACACAATCGTGCAGACAGATAGTAACCCTTTGGTACAGGATACTTCCCTGAAGACCTCATGCAATTTAATGCTAACTCCCATGGGAATATCTGTTGAGTGGTGTATGTATGTGTATGTGTAGGAATTATTTCTTAGAGGACATCAACTAACAATCATTGCATAACTTTTCTCTCAAACTTTTTTTTTTTTTTAAATAAAACCATCAGACTTTGAAAACTATTTGATAAAGGTTTTCATGATTTCACAGCAATCATTTCTGAGCTACCCTTGTACAATATTATTCATTTTGTAACTGACTTAATTTCATTCAGCCTGTCTTTAAGGTTCATGCATGTAGTAGTATTTATCAGGACTTTTTTATCTTTCAAGCTGAGGACTAGTACATATAGACCATATTTTCTTTATGCATGTATCTGATGGTAAGCACTTGATTTTCCCCACCTTCCAGCTATTGTGAGGAGTGCTGCCTAGGTATATATATGCCTGTTTGTGACATTTCTAGTAGACCTTGAAGGAATATGCCTAGAAGAGGAATTGCTGGATCATATGGCAGCTCCAAGGAGCTCTGGTAGTGTAGTGGTTATGAGCTGGGCTGCTAACCTCAAGGTGAGCAGTTTGAAACTACCAGCTGTTCCGCGGGAGAAAGATGAGGATTTCTGCTCCCGTAATGATTTACAGCCCCAGAAACCCTATACAGCAGGATCACTATGAGTTGGAACCGACTCTACAGCACACCACCACCACCACCAGGGCAGCCCCAGCTTGAGTTTTGTGAGGAGTGGCCAACTTGTTTTCAACAACTTTCAGTAACATTCTCACCAGCAATAGATGCAGATTCCAGTTTCTCCACACCTCCTTCAATTCTTATTTTCCCCTTTTGGTTGTTTATCTTAGCTATCCCTGGTGTTCTTGTTACATGCCATCAAGTTGGTTCCGACTCACAGCAATCCTGTATACGGTTTCTGAAGAGCAGCTGGTGGATCTGAACTGCTGACCTGCAGTTAGCAGTCAAGTGCTTATCCCAGGGCTCATATGATTGGAATTATATTCCTAAAACTGTTGTGGAACTCGAGCACAGTGCCTTGTTGTTTAATAATTTATCACTGAAGAAAATTAGGTCCCATAACTGTTTTCTTCTAAGAACTTTATGATTTAAGATTTAATATTTAGGTACTTGATCTATTTTGAATTAGGTTTTGTATAAGGTGTGAGGTATGATTCTTTACGTTTTCTGATTGTGGAAATCCAATTCTACCAGCACCCTTCATTAAAGACACTATTCTTTCCTCATTAAATGGTTTTGAAGGTTAGAAGATTTTTTGAATTTTATATTAGAGGATCATGTCACTTGCGAATAGATAGTTTTATGTCTTCCTTTCTAATTTGGATATCTTTATTTTTCTTGCTTTATTCTGGCTAGGCTTTCCAGTATAATACTGAATAGCAGTGGTGAGAGTAGGCATCCTTGTTCTCATTTTCAAGTAGAAAGTTCTTTATCTGTTTCTACTGAGTGTGATGTTGGCTGTTGATTTTTCATAAATACACTTAATCATGTTGAGAAAATGATAACATCTTTTCATGAATACAGTAATCTAACTTTTATAAGGTCCCAGTCTACTTTGTCTTCTGCTATTGATGCATTTTTTGTTACATTTTATATTTTATCAATAAAAATCATTAGGTTCTTGTTTTAGATTAAACATGTAGGGTCTTGATTTATTTTGAATTAGTTTTTGTATATAGTGTGAGGATAGATCTTGCTTCTGTTTCATGCATTTGGAAATACAATTTTGCTGGTACTATTTGTTAGAGAAGCTGTCCATTCACCCTTGATTGTTTTTCTTGTTGAAAATCAATTGATCATAAATGTATGGATTTATTTCTGGGTTCTCAATTGTTTTTCACTGGTCATTAAAACAGTACTAGGCTGTTTGGATTACTGTGGCTACACACTATGTTTTGATATTGGCAAATATAAGGACTCTTTCTTTGTTGCTGTTCTTCAGAATTGTTTAAGCTATTCAGGGCCTCTTGACTTTCCATATAAAGTTGAGAATTAGCTTTTCCATTTCCACAAAGACCAAGTGGTCCATGCTTTCCATCATCATCTCTCCAAATAGCTTTCTCTGGAGTATGTCCAGCAGTGTCCCCACTCTTCCTTGGTGAAGTCTATAGCTACCTCTTGGAAGGACACTGATTCCCGTGGCTGCATTGCCAACAGCTCAGCTGCCAATGGTTTTCCTCTGGGTTTTCACTCACAAACAGTCCAAACACTAAGCAAGCAAAGCCACTCTCCAGGACCTTTGCTCTGAGCTTGCCATTTCCTCAAATATTTTTTTAATGCAGCAAAAATTGTTTAATTTGGGAGCTTTACAGATGAAGTTAAAGAAATAATATTTTAATTTAACGTAACAATTTGCATATTTCAAATTTGCATAAATCTTAGGCATTCAGTAAATACATGTAAATGCAGTTGTATATACACATATACACATACACAAAAGATCATCTTCAACCCCACATACATGCACAAATACCCATCCATACAGTCACACATAAGCATATATCTATATATCCACAATTTCTATCTAAATGCATACTCACCCACACATTTAAATATACATTCACAATATACATACCCTTTCACATAAACATACTTCCTCATATCTGCACTCATATAAGTGTATACGAGGGGGCTTCAAAAAGTTCATGGGGAAATTCCATTATCTTTAATTCCATTTTTCCATGAATGTTTTGAAGCCCCCTCATATATGGTGCTGTTATTAGGTGCTGCGGAGTTTACTCTCACTCATAGCCACACTGTATAAGGTTTCTGAAGCTATAAATCTTTACAGGAGCAGAAAGGCTTATTTTTCTCTTATAGAGTGGCTGGTGGGCTTCAACTACCCACCGTGTGGTTTACAGTCCAGTGTTTATCATACAGAGTCACCATGCTCCCCCTCATACATCATATTCTCATACATACACACACATATGGATGAGTGTGTGCACAGAGATGCATATGTTTCATCCATCATCTTTTCTTGCTTTGTGTTCTACACTCCAGTCACACTGGGCATAGTAGATAGAGAGAACGTGGGTTATCAGGATGCATGAAAAATTCATTGCAGGATCCAACCTTTTGGGTAGTCTCAAAGGAGCAGCCCTTGGGGAAAGAATGGAGGCCATGTCTTCTTTCTCTCTGCCCCCTAGACCATCCTTACCAGAAGCCCTGTGCTGGGAGAGGCTGGGGCCAGACCCACCCTGTCTTTACAGGGATAGCCAACTGCATCAGTAGAGCCAGGGAAAAAGCACCCACCTGGGCATGAAGAAGGAGCCCTGGTGGCACGGTAGGTTAGGAATTGGGCTGCTAAACGCAAGGACAGTGGTTCAAGCCTACCACTCCCACAGTTGTCTGATGAGGCTGTCTGCTCCAATAAAGATTTACAGTCTTGAAGCCCTAAGAAGCAGTTCTACTCTGTCCTATAGGGCCGCTATGAGTTTAAACTGGGAATCTACTCAAAGATGATGGGTTTTGGCTGGTTGAGGCATGAAACGTCCTCCCAGGCCAGATGCAAGGGTCAGTGCTCACTCACTCCCTCTAGTGGTGGAGACTGGGATGCTTGGAAGCTGAGCCCAGTGTCCACAGCTAAGAAAAAGTGGGTTTTCTGGGCCTCCCTAGAGGGTCGCTTTGAGTCAGAATCAACTCAATGACAGTAGTTTGGTCTTGGGGTCCCTCTGCCTCTCCCCTGTGCTACACTTCCAGCCATCTCATAATGGTACCTGCAGCGGAGGGAAATTGAAGCACTGAGGTCCATACCTGACTCCACACCTGGTGTAAGCAGGGAGGTGAGCACATAGGTTGGCCTCCCCACTGAGGCAGGGAAATGGCCTTGACTTCGGGACTGTCCATCCCATCCACCTAGTTCTTGGAAAGTAGAAATACTCTCTATGTCTGTCTTTTCTGACTCTGTAGTTTTCTCGTCAGCCTTCCACTTGGTCTCCATTTCGCCTTGTGAACTTCATCTTATTCTCCTTCTCTGTTTTCCCCCCAATTCCTACCTCCCTTTGTGTCCACCTCTGCCCTGTTAAGCCCTCCCTGTTTTGGACTCTCCTCTCAGTCCTCTGCTCTGTCTGAACCTGAATGTATCTCTCACCATCTCCAGCTGCTCTATGCCGGCAAAGTCAGGGAAGATGTATCTCCAGGACACTTCATTCTGAAAGTTTCTGCAACAGACTTGGACAGCGACACCAACGCTCAGATCATGTATTCTCTCCATGGTCCTGGGACTGAGGCGTTCAAGCTGGACCCCCATACAGGTGGGTTTCCTGAGCTGCAGGATCAAGCCAAAAGCATATTTGCTGATTGTCAAGTGTCCAGCACCGTGGTAAGCGACTTAGAGCAGAAAAAGCAGGGGTTCACTCACCCATCCATCCACTCAGTGAGGACCCACTCAGTGTTGAGATTGCATTAGGTGCTGGAGACATCAGCAATATGCAATAAGACAAGATTGGGCTCTTTATAATGTAGTGAGAAAAGCAGACATTGAACGATGGTTAAAAATGTGCTGAATTAAGAAGAAATGCAGGGTGTGAGGGGATGCTTGACAGGGAAAATTGACTTAGGCTTGGGAGTGGGGAGGTGAAACTTTTCTGAGGAAATGCTATTTTAGGTGTGATTTGAGAACATATAGGAGTTATCTGGGGGTAAGGGAAAAGCAAGGAAGGCCATTTAACCAGAAAGGAGAATTTATACAAGGACCTTGTGTCAGAAACAGCATGGGAGCACTGAGGAGACAGGTACACAGTGGGTGAAGGGAGAGGGCAAAATATGAGGCCCTTGGATGGACATGATAAGTGCCCTGGAGGGTTTAGGAAGGGGAATGCCATGGTCAAGGACGGGATCCCTGCTTTTGAGATGATTATGCTGTCAACTGGAGAAAAACCTCATAGGAATTTTGTGAGGCTTGTGAGAGGTAAAGCAGGTGGAGGCCCAACTCAGGCCTGCCACAGGGTAAGTTCTCATTACAGAATGACTGCCACTGTGATCCTCATTAGTTAGGAGACAAAGTCCCCAGGAGGCAGAGGCCTGCAGGGAGGCTATGAATATCTCAGAGAGGTTGGACTGTGAGAAAGGGAAGACAGAGTGGAGTCTGCTTCCCATAGAAGAGCAACCCCAGAAAAGGTGGGTTGGGTCCCTCTCTTGCTGCTATCTGGGACGACATGAGGTTGTAGAGCACAGAAGGTCATAGAGAGCCAGCTGCCAACACTTGTCTTGGATCCAGTAGCTCAAAGGATCCTTGTAGATTCTTGAGTAGGGAGGTAGCAGGTAAGAGTGGTGTCCCAGGAGGCTGTCTGTGTAGCTAACAGGCCACATTGTCCTTCCGGACATCGGCATGAGCATGCTGAATGACCCCAGGCAGATTACCTGTTTGTTCAGCTGCAGGATGGACTGGCAGGGTCTTAACATACAACACAAACTGGGTGTTGTTTTTTTTAATATGGAAATAACAGATACTCATTGTACAAAACTGCAAACAATGCAAGTTTGAATGAATGTTTTAAAATTATGCAGATACTGGTAAGTCCCTATAATACCTACTCCCTCACCACCAAAGGTAAGTACTGTTGGTATGCATTCTATCAGACTAGTTTTCCATGCATCTCCCCCAATTTTTTTTTCCACCAAAGTGGAATGCTGGTTTATGACTTGCTTTTTTTTCACTTAGCTACAATATCTTGGTGATAGTAACAGAACAGTACATAAAATTCGATCATAAATCCTTTTTGGTTGCGCAGTATTTTGCTATGTGACTAAACCATAATATATTTAACCAGTCCCTTCTGGGGGATCATGTAATTTGATCTTAATATATTGCTATTATAAAAAAATACTGCAGAGAATGTCCTTATTCATCTATTTATATTCTTAGGTTAATTATTCTCTGAGATACATTCCTATAAGTGAAATTGTACGCCAAAGCGTAAAACATTTTATGTGTAGTTAGAAATTGCCTAATTACCCTTTAACATTTTCTGCCTATTTGTAGTTTGTTGGTGAGGATTTAAAGTAGTGATTGTGGTGGTAGAACGTGTTGGGAGAATTAGGGATACAGGAGGGAGTGGGAAAATGCACAAGACTGACCATTTTCCTCTATAACAAAACCTTGTATGTCTGGGTAGATGTTTAGAGGCACATGCTGAGGTATGTCCCCAAAGAAAGCTCAACTGATCTCGTTTCTCCGGCTAGGGGAGCTAACCACCCTCACAGCTTTAGACCGTGAAAGGAAGGATGTGTACAACCTTGTTGCCAAGGCTACAGATGGAGGTGGCCGGTCATGCCAGGCAGAAGTGATTCTCCACGTGGAAGATGTGAATGACAATGCCCCACGGTTCTTCCCCAGCCACTGTTCCGTGGCTGTCTTTGACAATACCACAGTTAAGACACCCGTGGCTGTGGTATTTGCCCGAGATCCTGACCAAGGTAAGTCTGAACAGGGAAGGGAGGCCACTTCTGTTTCTGGGGTCACCTTGGGTGGGCGTTTTGCTCTTCTGGGTTTCTCTGGGAATAAAGGCTATACCCCCTTTTTGAGTGTATGGACACATAAAAGTAGGACTCATGTCTACAGATTAAAGATGTAAGTATCGTGGAGTAAAAGATTTTAGCAATGTTGTTAGGCAGGTACAAAACACTTCATCCTCACTGTTTCTCCCCCCAGTCACCAAGACCTGGAGGTGTTTCAATCCTGCCAATTAATTTCAAGGGCATTTTGCATAGAGAAGTTTTAAACAGAAACACACCAGTCACGATGATTTCAACTCAATTTTCCATAAGAAATAACTTTTTACACCAACTCTATTGTTCTTAAGTGCTGTCGAGTTGGTTCTGACTTACAGCAACCCTGTGTAGGGTTTCTGAGGAGCAGCTAGTGGGTTTGAACTGTGAACCTTGCAGTTAGCAGTCCAATATCCGACAGTGCCATACCAGCTCTCCACAAAATTTTGAGACTATTAAAATTCCTTGATGAATTTTCTACATAGTGCACTTGAATCATTTCTAATATTTTCCATTTTATGTTAAGGGTGTTATTTTCATTGGGTTGTTTCTTTAAAACTGTGCAAGGCAAATTGGAGTTATTTATGAACATTTCTACCTTGTTATATTAATCATAGCTTCTGCCATCCTGAAATGGTGTGTGTATGTGTAGATTATGTATGTGTGTACATATGACTTTGTGTGTATATACTTCTTTGCAGCATTAACCCAGGTAACAATTAAAATGCAGAATTGATCCATCACAACCAAAGAATTCACCACAGGCAATTTTGATCTTGCCTTCTGTTCATGCCATAAGCTGACATTGAACGCTAACCTTTACATAATATTTCAGATAATTTGATAGATTTACAAACTAAGCCCTCAAGAATTTTTCTAAGAGGATTTGGACATCCTAATCAAGAACCCCTCCCACCCCCCAAAAAAACTGCCATCAAATCGATTCTGACACACAGTGACCTCACGTGTGTAAGAATAAAACACACCATAGTATTTTCAATGGCTGATCTTCCCCCCGCCCCAGAAATTAATGGTCAGGACTTTCCTCCAAGGCACCTCTGGGTAGACGTAAACCTCCAAACTCTGGTTGGCAGCTGGGCACATTTACCTTTTGCACTATGGACCCCAAGCAAAATCAAACCCACAGCCTTCAGAAAACAAACAAAGCCCACTTCCTTGGAGTAGATTCCATCTCATGTTGTTGTGAAATGCCATCAAGTCGGTTCTGATTCATGGATTTGAATTGCCTATCTTGCAATCAGCACTACAGTGCTTATCCTACAATATCACAGTTGAAGCAAATAGCTTGATCCATCCAAGCATATCAGCCTTTATGGCGACCCTTCCCCAAGTCCCCCTGTGATTGGAGGGTTTGCTACAGACAGGAACAGAGGAGGGGCTCCAGTATGAATCATGCCTCTGTCTCCCCTACAGGCACCAATGCCCAGGTGGTTTACTCTCTGACGGGGTCTGCTGATGGTCACTTTTCCATCGAAGCCACCACGGGCGTGATCAGGCTGGAGAAGCCACTGCGAGACAGACCGCAGGCCATGCTGGAGCTCACGGTCCGTGCCTCTGACCTGGGCACGCCGACGCCGCTCTCCACACTGGGCACCGTCACAGTCTCAGTGGTGGGCTTGGATGACTACCTGCCTGTGTTCCTGAGCACCGAGCACAGCGTGCTGGTGCCTGAGGATGCCAGGCCTGGCTTCGAGGTGCTATATCTGGCCACCCTCACTCGGCCAGGCGCAGAGAAGACGAGCTATGGCATCGTCAGTGGGAACCAGCAGGGCAGCTTCCACCTGGATGCTAGTACAGGTGAGCCAGCAAATGAGTCTACGCATGCGTGCACACGTATGTACACAGAGGCCCCGAGAAAACGATGGGATGTTGAAAAGGGCGTTGGAGTATCTGCCCACAACCCCCTTTCCTCTCCACTCTGCATCTGTCCACATACCTTCTTTCACCCTGGACCCAGCTAATTTGGTAGCCTCCCTGGTGTGGCGCTGTGGGTTAACGCACCAGACTGAAAAGCCGTTTGAACTGCAAGGTCAGCGGTTCAAGCTCACCAGCTATTCCTTAGAAAACCTATACAGGGTCACTATGAGTCGGAATCGACTCGACAGCATTTAACAACAACAACAACTTGTTCACCCATGTTCCCATCCAGGACTCTGTGCCCAGGGCCCTTGGGGATCCACCTCTTCCCACAGTTTGAGGATCTATGGCCTTAGCTCAGGCCCACTCCAGAAGGTGAGGCGAATTTCCGTCCTTGGCTGCAGGAACACAAAGCACTTGCTGGAAGCTGGCTGCCTGCTTCCCTCCAAGAGCTGCTCTGCAAACCCCTGAGTACTCATGAACGTTCCTACCTTCTCATGGAGAGAGAGGGAAGTGGGAAACCATCTCGCCGGAGAACAGTCTAGGTCAGCCTCACAGGTTCTCATGGAAGGGCCTTTCAGGTGGCACAGTGCAACCCTGCCACAGTACTCCTACTTCCTAAAACAGTGACCTATTGTTGAGCTGTGTTTATTATGGATATTTAAAACGTATGAACATTATAATGAATCCTATGTTCCCATCACCGGCTTCAGTAATTATCAACATACGGCCAATCTGGTTTTATCTTTATCCTTTATTCCCACACCTACTCATTGTTATTTTAAAGCAAATCCCAGACATCATGCCGTTTCATCCGCAAATACTTCAGTGGGTATCTCTAAATGATTTTCAGTTGCCACGGAGTTGACTCTGGTATGTGTCAGAGTAGAACTGTGCTCCATGGGGTTTTCCATGGTTGGCTTTCACAAGTTGATTGCCAGGCCTTTTTTGTGCGAGGCACCTCTGAGAGAGCTCCAAAGGCCAACCTTTTGGTGAGCAACTGGGCACATTAACTGTTTGTACCATTGAACCAAAACCAAACTCACAATCGTTGACTCAATTCTACTCACAGGGACCCTAGAGGAGAGAGTAGAACTCCTCCCTAGGGTTTCTGAGATTGTAAATCTTTATGGGAGCAGACAGTCTCATCTTTCTCCCAGGGAATGGCTGATGAATGGGTTTGAACCACCAACCCTGAGGTCAGCAGCCCAATACTTAACCTGCTGTACTATCATGGCTTCTGGTTTGCAGCATTGTTGTTGTTGTTTTTAAGTGCCATCGAGTCAGTCCTGACCCATAGCAACCTTGTATAGAGTTTCTGAGGAGCAACTGACCTTGCAGTTCAAACTGACTTTGCAGTCCAGCACATTAATCCACAGTGCCACATCAGGACTCCTAATGTTTACAGCATTAGGGCTTTTCAAATGGTGACTTTTCTAATCCTATCATTCCTCATTCATTTACTAGTTGGAATTACTGGTTGGAGTTTTCTACCATAAATTATTTGGCAGGATAGGTCCTTGTCCTTTTCTATTCCCGTTTTCAGAATAATGAGTATATTTCCTAACATTGGCTAGTATGAAGCCTTTTTTATAATGTAACTTTTGTCATTGACTGGCTGGTGAGCTTGGGCAAGTCACTTGTTAAAATCACTAATTGACTCAGCTATACAATGGGACTAACAATAATTGTTTCTGGTCCTCAGGATTATTACAGATTTATGTGAGATACAGTTGATATTACAGATTAAGTGGCCTATTTCTGAAGTAAATGAGGGGGAAATATTGCTGTTGGGAATGAGTCTAATAAAGAGGAAAGGAGATGGAGGGGACGAGGTGAGGAGATCTGGCTTCCCAAAGTTGAGCTGCCTCTCCTGGATATTGCTCAAGATCCCTGAGTCTTCTCTTTCTTTGTGATTCCACTGGCCTTATTGTTCCATCATCTTTGGTTTCTACAGGGATCCTGTATGTCAATAGGAGCTTGGACTTTGAGACAAGCCCCAAGTACTTCCTGTCCATTGAGTGTATCCGAAAGGACTCTTCCTCCCTCAATGACATGACCACAATCGTGGTCAACATCACTGATGTCAACGAACACCAGCCCAGGTTCCCCCGGGATCTGTACAGTGTGAGGGTCTTGGAGAATGCCTTCGTGGGTGACATCATCCTTACAGTAAGGAGCCCAGCTTTGTTTGTTGTGAGACATGGACTCAAGAATGAATTTTTTTCTCCCGCCTCCATTCCTGGTCAGCTATGAGCATAGATTTATTTATTAAATTAATACACTATGAACTTTACTTTGACTCTTAGCCACTCAGCCAAACTGCTTCTTATGACAGAAGATCTCAGGACCATGTTTGATCAAGATTGGATACTGATAGAGTGGGACATGGGATAGACAAGCTTTGATAGGAAAGGAAAGAGAAGAGATAGCTTCCAGAGGCACCAAATCCTGGGAGAGACTTGGTCAATGAGTGACATGGAGTGTCAGTGGGTGCAGGGAAGGGGACTGGGGAAACACTAAATAATACCTCTTTGCATTAAACCTGCCACTGCTCCCTACTGGTGGAGTTAAACCAATCTCCATATGCCCATATTCAGGCCCTATGTGACCCTCATCAGCCAGCCTCACAGTCTCATCTCCCTCCACTCTGCATTCTCCCATGCAACCTGAGTTTCAATCACACACGAAGCTTCACCTTTCCCCCAGACATCGTCTGCACTTTCACATCTCTGGGCTCATACTGTTTTCTCTGCCTGGAAAGCCTGCTCTTCTCCCAGGAGCCCTGTTTGTCCTTTGGAGCATTTTGAATCCTTTTCCAATCTTCCCAGGTGGAACTGATCACTGTGTTCTTTATGTTCAAATGCTTTGTCCCAATTGGAGTTACCCACAATATCAGACATATTCTTCCCGGGGGCATATTCAGTAGGCACATTCCTACCACCTAACACAAGACCTAGCACCCTATCAGTATGGCTGCATGAATGAATAGATAAGTGAATGAATTGTGGCTTGATGGGATCCATACTAGGATGTGAATAAGGAGACATTCTTGGTAGGGATAACTATGATCCAAGGACTGCTAACTTAATACACTGGACGTATCTGCCCCCTCTGTACTCCCAGGGCCAGGATTCCTTTCTAGCTCCTCATATCTCTCCACTCACAGCCCATCTACCCCAAATTGCAGGTGTCAGCAACTGATGAAGATGGACCCCTCAATAGTGCCATCACCTATAGTCTGGTAGGAGGGAATCAGCTTGGGCACTTCACTGTCCACCCCAAAAAGGGACAGCTACAGGTGGCCAAGGCCTTGGACTGGGAGCAGGTGAGTCATCGAGGAGAAGCCCCACCTGATCTCACCAGAGCAGAAAGATGCCCCAATGTTGTATTATTGCATTATGACATAATGTTGTTGTTAAGTGCCGTCTAGTTGATTCCAATCATAATGATTCTGTATAGGGTTTCTGAGGAGCAGCAGGTGAGTTTGAACTGTCAGTCTTGTGATTCAAACTGACCTTGCAGTCCAGCGCTTATCCTCAGTGCCATACCAGGAATCTATGACAATAATTGTTAAGTGTCATTGAATCGGTTCCAACTCATAGTGACCCTGTAGAGGGTTTCTGAGGAGCAGCGGGTGAGTTTGAAACTCCAACCTTGTGGTCCAGTACTTATCCTAAAAAGTCTCCACCTAACTATAATGCCACACCAGGACTCCATGACAATTGTTAATGTTGCTGAGTGCTGTCAAGTTGGTTCCGACTCAGCTTTACCCTGTAGAGGAGCAGCTGGTGAGTTTGCTGCCGACCTTGCAGTTCACAGCCCAGTGCTGATAGTTACCATTTACTGAGTACTTGCTCTGTGCCAGGCATGTTGCTGAGTGCTTTCTATGCATTAGCCCATTTGATCCTCACACTAATCCCAGGAAACAGATACTATCCTTAGGGAGGTTTAGTCACTTATCCAACCAAAGTCACATAGCTAGTAAATGGTTGAGTTGGAAATCAAAGTTATTTCTGTCTGATTGAACCCTAAAATACTAATGATGGGCACTGCCAGTGGGCATAGAGTAGTGTCTTCATCTTAGTTTTCAAAAAACAGTAGACACAAGGGGTAGAACTGAGGGGCCCATTACTAACTCCATTGGGCATCTTGGTAGATTTCTAGCTACTCGCTAAGGCTCCGAGCCACAGACAGCGGACAGCCCCCACTCCATGGAGACACAGACATCGATATCCAAGTGGTTGATGTCAACGATAATTCGCCTAGATTCTTCCAGCTTAACTACAGCACCAGCATCCAGGTAAGGTCAAGCGTCCAGAGATACCTGGAGGCAAGCTTTCCTTCTTTTCTTTTTTTTAGTAGAGGGTGCTAACTAGTGGTATCAATCTAGCAAACAAGTCCACCTTGCCCACTGATATCCACCCCCAACAATTCACCCTGCTGAGGGAAATTGTGAATTATGGAATTTTTTAAAATCAGGCATTGTGCTAAACACTTCCATACCCATAAACTTATGTGTGGCTCATAACAACCATCTGAAGTAGATAGTACCCATTGTATAGATTTATAAAGTGGAGGCATCAAAAAGTGCCATGGCTAGAATGTGATAAAACTTGGAATTTAAACCCAGGAGACTTTCCAGATCCCAAGCTATTTCCACTGTACCAGTGGGATGCAAGAGGAATTTAGAGAGAGTCTTGGGATTCTATGAGGAGCCATCGGGATCCATAAGGGGTGAGGGAGATAAAGAAGTCAATTGGAAAGCAGAGAGTGCTGGAGTCTACTCTGTTTCCACTTTAACCTCTTTTATATATTATGCAACTTAGTAAGGATGCTTTGGCTGCAAATAACAGAACATCTGACTAAAAGTGTATTCAGTAAGAAAGATTTATTCTTTCACATAGCAAAAGGGCTGATGATGGGCAGTTCCAATCCAGAATTGGTTACTTCAGCAGGGAATTTATGCCAGGGTTCTGGGCCACCTTCCTTGGACTTCACTTGTCTTCTGCCTCATGGCTTTCAAGGTCATGGTCTGTCAGAAGCAGATTATTAGACCTTTCTTTCGTGGCACCTCTGGGTGAGCTAACTGATTGGATCACCCAGGGACTCCTTATATGGATCTCAGACATTAACTAGTCTCTAAATGTGAGTCATCAGCTGTGTGATCTTGGACAAGTCACTGCTCTGTGTAATAAAGGAAGGGTTTCTAAGGACCCTTCAAGCACCAGGGCTTTGTTTCTAAGATCCAGCACTGCCCTGGGGGAGCTTCTGGCAGAGACTGACACAAGTCACCACCTAACTCAAAGACGAGGCCAAATAGATGAGTGTGAACTTGAGGTCCAGTCACAGCTGGGAGCAGTGGAGTGCTGAGTGTCTGTCCCAGCCCAGAGGATCCAGGAAGATGCCAGCAGAGGAGGCTGGACTCATTTTGCTCTTTGGTTTCCTGTCATTCTCTGTCTCAGGAGAACTCCCCTGTCGGCAGCAAAGTCCTGCAGCTGATCCTGAGTGACCCAGACTCCCCAGAGAATGGCCCCCCCTACTCATTCCAGATCAACAAGGGGAACATCGGCTCTGCCTTCCATGTGACCCCAGATGGGTGGTTAGTAACCACTGTGGGCCTGAGCAGGAGGGTACAGGAATGGTATGAGCTGCAGATCGAGGTGAGAGCTTTGCTGGCTGGTGGGGTGGCTGTGGGGTCAGTAAATGTGCTGATAAAAGCTCTGCCAGGGCATCTATGTTTAGGGAAAGGCTACAGAGTACTTGTCATGGGTTGTCATGCGTCCTTGTATTAAATTCCCCAGAGGCTCCTTGGAAACCCTATACAGGGTCACTGTGAGTCAGAACCGACCCAATGGCACTTACAACAACAAGCCCTCTTTAAGACTGATCTAGCTACCCTCTCCCCCACTTCACTTTACAGATGAGAAAACTGAGGCACAGGCAGGTTAAGTGACAGGTCTAAAGTAATACTGCTAGTAAGTGGCAGAGGTTGGTTTCTTCAAATCCAAATGCTGCCTGATCCTAGAGTCCCGGTGTTTAATCCCCACACTGCACTCAGGCAGAACGCCCACACCGTGCTCTGTTTTCTCGAGTTTGGCCAGAACAACTCTCTTAACTTCTTGTGCTAATCAGACCTTCCTCTCAGAATTCTGCAGGGAGAGCATGTTTATGCAGGTGTTGTGGGGTGATGGTGGTGGTCAAGTGAGAAGTTCCCAAGAAACAGTGGCTGTCTCTTATTTCATTCCCCCAAAGCCCTACTATTCTGTAAACGCCTCTGGGCTTCAGTTGTTCCACAGATATTCATTGAATACCTAACCCTATTCCAGATCCTATGTTAGTTTCTAGGACGGTAGTAAAGGACAAGAAGGGGCTAGTCCTCATTCTCCTGGGCTTTTCATTCTAATTGTAGTGCTAACCAACAAGCCGATGAAGAAAGACACATCTTTATAAATTATGATAAGGAAATAAAATGATGAGAAACTCATGTAAGTATTCAGAAGAGAGCTGCCTCTATGAAAAGGAAACATTTACATTAAGTCCAGTCATGTGAAAAGTGGACAGGAGGTGCTCCAGGTAGAAAGGGCAAGATGAGCCAAGTTCTGAGCTGGAAACAGCTGGGAGTGACCTAGAATGAGGCTCGGTGGTCAGAGTGCAATGAGTCGGGGTCAGAATGGCACGCTGAGGAGATGAGCTGTGGGGAAAGGGTCACAGAGGTCTTGTGGCCAGGGTGATCATCTTGTTTAAGAGCAAACTTTGACACTCTTGAGGCACAACAAATAATTAATTGATCTACTACAGGTAAAAATCGAATCTATGCTGGGTAAATTTAATTTTAAGACCCATTGCCCTTGAGTTGATTTCAACTCATAGTGACCTCATGTGGTATAGAGTAGAACTGCTCCATAGGATTTCTTCGTCTGTAATCTTATACGGAGCTCTGGTAGCATAGTGGTTAGGAATCGGACTGAGAACTTCAAGGTCAGCAGTTCGAAACTACCAGCTGTTCCACGGGAGAAAGATGAGGCTTTCTGTTCCCGTAAAGATTTACAGCCTCGGAAACCCTGTACAGGGTTGCTATGGGTCAGAATCGACTCCACGGCACATAACCAACCACCACCACCAATGTTGATGGAAGCAGATCACCAGGCATTTTTTTCTGTGGCATTGCTGGGTGGGTTTGAATTGCCAACCTTTTTCTTTCTGCACAAACCATTTGCATACCCAGGGACCTACTTATGTTGTTGTTATGTGCTGTTGAGTCAGTACCGACTCAGAGGAACCCTGTATAGATTTTCCAAGGAGCAGCAGGTAGGTTTGAACTGGGCCTTGGTCATACATTTGCTTTTCTTCTAAATATAATGAGAAATTGTTGCAGCTTCTCAAGTAGGGAAGTGATCACTCTTGTGTCTCCGGAGGCTCGTTTCTGACATTTTATAGCGAATTTAAAGTGACAAGGATAGACAGAGGCCAATAAGAAGTCATCCCAGCTGGAGACGGTGGGGCTGAGACTTTGGAAGTGATGGACTATATATGGACTTATTTTGGATGTCCATATATAGGAATTAGTGATGGACTGGGTAAGGGCAAAGAAAAGAATCCGGACCTCTGAATTCCCAGCTCTAGTGAAGAGTAGTTAGCAATGCCATTTATGAGACTAGGAAGACTATAGAGGTGTGAGTGAGGACAGGCTAATGGAGTCAAATAAGGACTCTGGTCTGCAAACCTTTGCTTCGAGTTTCCCAAGACATCTGAATCCACTGGGTAATTGGGTACAGGAGTCTACAGCTCAGATGGCAGGTGTGGTTACTTTGTGTCTTATCATAATTTGCAAAGATACAAAGATGATGTGTTAATCCATTGAATCACTCAATCAGTCTTTCAATAAGTATTTATTGATCCCCTGCTAAAGTCTGGTTCCTATGCTAGCTGCTAGGAATACAGCAGGGGACGAGAAACCCAGGTTTTGAAAACCTTCTAAATGGGCTCTCCAAGGATATGATGCATTTGCCTCTTGAAGAGATGAGCAAGAGTGGCTCCCCAGCACAGGGCCAGGCCCAGATGGGAGTTCAGTAAAAACTTATTTTGTATTTCTACTCCCATTCGTTGTGGGGCACTATTGTTAAATGTTGTCAAGTTGACTAACTCATAGCAACCTTGTATAAGGTGGCACTATAGGCCAACGAAGGAGTCCTGATGTGGTGCTACAAGCATTGGACTGTTAACTGCAAGGTTGGTGGTTCAAACCCACGAGCAGTTCCTTGGAAACCCTATACAGGATCTCTATGAGTTGGAACCAACTCAACAATACTTAACAACAACAATAACACAGACCAACAAGAAAACAAATTTTAAAACCATGCAGTATAGACACAGTCTCTGGGTGGTGCAAGTAATTTATCAGTTAAGTCCCTGACTGATAACCAAACATTTGAAGTTATGAGTCTTCCTAGAGGTACGGGCCCGGCGATCTGCTTCTGAAAAATCAGCCATTGACTTCCCCATGGGACGTAGTTCCACTGTAAAACACATGGGGTCACCATGAGTCAAAACTGTCTTGATGACATCTGCTTTTTTTTTCTTTTCTTTTAATGGACATAGATACAAGTTAAAATTCTTCTCTGCTTTTACCTGTTATTTGACCTTGGGCCAGTTACCTTATTATTTGTGCCTCAGTTATAGCTTGGTAAAACAGAGCCTTTTACAGTACCTATCTCCTGTGGTTCTGTGGGTTAATGCACCAGACTGCAAAGCCGTTTGAACTGCAAGATCGGTGGTTCAAGCTCACCAGCTGCTCCTCGGAAACCCCATACAGGGTTGCTATAGATCAGAATCAACTTGATGGCACTTAACAACAACAACAACAAATCTCATAAGAAAAATTAAATATAGTATATTTAAAGCTTTTAAAATTGATTGGCATACAATTTGTACTTAGTTGTCATTGTTGTTGTTAAGTGCTGTTAAGTCAATTCCAACTCATAGTGTCCCTGTATAGGATTTCTGAGGAGTGACTGGTGAGCTTGAACTGCCAACCTTGTGGTTCAAACCACTTTTGCAGTCCAGCACATTAACCCACAGTGCCACACCAGAACTCCTAGTTGTCATTAGCTGTGTGTTATAACCTAAATCCAAACCCACTGCCATGGAGTCAATTCTGACTCTAAATCTTTATAAGAGCAGAAAGCCTCATCGTTCTCCTGTAGAGTGGCTGGTGGGTTCGAACTGCTGACCTTGTAGTATTATAATCAGTTAATATCTTGTTTGTGTTATGCACAATTCCCCATAGTGGGTGTACTTCTACAATGTACTTGCTCACTCCACCATTTGAACATTTGAACACAACGTTATTATGGGTACAATATATGGGTTTCTTGGACAATTGACAACAACAATGAGGCTCAGCCTCAATAGGACCAGAGTTCTGAGCCCTTTGGGTAATGGTGGTGTTGGATTTGTTCACAGGTGTCAGACAGTGGTGTCCCTCCCCTCTCCTCTTTGACGTCTGTCAGCGTCCACATCACAGAACAGAGTCATTATCCACCTTCTGCCCTCCCCCTGGAGATCTTCATCACCATTGGGGAGGAGGAGTTCCAGGGTGGCATGGTGGGTAAAATCCATGCCACAGACCGAGACCCCCAGGACACGCTGACTTACAGCCTAGCAGGAGAAGAAACCCTGAGCAGGCGCTTCTCAGTGGGTGCTTCTGATGGTAAGATTATCGCCACCCAGGGATTGCCTCGTGGCCGCTACTCATTCAACGTCACCGTCAGTGATGGAACATTCACCACCACTATTGGGGTCCATGTCCACGTGTGGCATGTGGGCAGGGAGGCTTTGCAGCAGGCCATGTGGCTGGGCTTCCACCAGCTCACTCCGGAGGAACTGGTGAGTGACCACTGGAGGAACCTGCAGAGATTTCTCAGCAACAAGCTGGACATCAAACGAGCCAACATCCACTTGGCCAGCCTTCAACCTGCAGAGGCCTTGGCTGGTGTGGATGTGCTCCTGGTCTTTGAGGGACATTCTGGAACTTTCTACAAGCTCCAGGAGCTGGCATCCATTGTCACTCGCTCAGCCAAGGAGATGGAGCACTCTGTGGGCATTCAGATGAGGTCAGGCATGCCTGTGGTGCCCTGCCAGGGGCCAAGCTGCCAGGGTCAAATCTGCCAAGAGACAGTGCACCTGGACCCCAAGGTTGGACCCACATACAGCACAGCCAGGCTCAGCATCCTGACCCCTCGGCACTACCTGAAGAAGAACTGTTCCTGCAATGGTGAGTAATGGGTCCTCCCCAGGGACAACCAGCACTGTTGGACTCAACCAAACTCTAGGGGTGGAGACTCCAAGGAGTGTCTGTGGTGAGATAGTTAAAGGGAAGCTTTAACAAGGCCTAAGGCCACAGATAGCGGCCTATAACATCTAGTCATGAAATAACAATCTATTTCTGACTTCATTTTGGAATTTTGAAAATAAGACTACAAGAGGGAGTTTTGAATGTGGCAAAGACTATAGACTCTGGCATCAGACTGCCTGGGTTCAAATCGAAGCTTGATACTTACTAGCCATGTGACCTTCAATTCTCTGTGTGTTTGAACTGGTGTGGGGATTAAATGAGTATTATGTATCAAGTGCTTGACACAGCAAGTGCTCAATACGACTACTACTGTGGCACCAATGGTTAAATACTCAGCTACTAACCAAAGGACTGGAGTCTCAAGTCCACTTAGAAGTGCTGCAAAACAGTTCTGGTGATCTGCTTCCAAAAGAAACTGTGACATTTTGGAAGCAGGCCACCAGAGCATAGTTCTAATCCTCACACGTCAGGTCATTGGGAGTTGGAATTGACTCAACGGCAACTGGTTTGGTGTTGTTATTGGAACTACTGCTACTATTATTAATATGTTGTTGTTGTTATGTGATGTGGAGTCAGTTCCGACCCATAGCGACCCTGTATAGGGTTTCTGAGGAGCAGCTGGTGAGCTTGAACCGCAGATCTTGCAGTTCAAATGGCTTTGCAGTCTTGCGCATTAACCCACAGCACCACACCAGGCCTGATGGTTATACACTTAAGATTTAGATGTGAACGGCTCAAATTCAAACCCTAATTCACTTATTTACTACATATGTAAATTTGGGTGGGTTAATAAGATTCTTGAACTTAAGTTTCTTAGCTGTAAGATAGGGAAACTATTAGCATCTGCTGCCTCAAGTTGTTTGGGAGAGAATTACATAGTGGCTACAAAAGCCTTTAACCCATGGCTAGGAAGCCCTGGTGGTACAATGGTTAAGTAAGTAAGTGTCCAGCTGCTCACTGAAAAGGTTGGTGGGTTCAAACCCACCCAATGGCTCCATGGGAGAAAGACCTAGTGATCTATTCTCATGAATATTACAGCCTAGTACGTTCTAAGGAGCAGTTCTGCTCTGTCACATGGGTTGCTATGAGTTGAAATGGACTTGTCCACATCCCTTTTCCACCCCCTACCCCCAATCATTGGTGACTTTCATTTGCACAGTAGCAGTTGTTGCTGTAAGGACCAGGCTCCATGTAGGTCTGCATCGATGACATCTACACTAACCCTCCCCACAGCCCAACGAAGTAGGACTCATCAGCTCATCAAGAGTTGAAACTGATTATCCCCAGTCATCTAGTATTGCTGTAATGAAATACCACAAGTGGGTGGTTTAACATGTAGACACACTTAGTTTCTCACACTTAGGAGGCTAGGTGTCCAAATCCAGGGTGCTCTTCTAGGGAAAGACTTTCTCTCTCTGCCAGCCCAGGAGGAAGGTCCTTGTCTCTTTTGAGTTTGTGTTCCTGGGATATCTTCTTGTGGCTTGGCATCTCACTTCACCCATCTCTGTTTGCTTGCTGAAAGATTGACCTAAGACACACACGACACTAATACTGTCTCATTAACAGAGCAAAGAAAATGCATTTCCAAATGGGATTATAACCACAAGTAAACCAAAACCCCAAACCCACTGCCATCAAATTGATTCCAACTTAGTGACTCAGTATAGGGTTTCCAAAGCTGTAAATCTTCTGAAGCCTCATCTTTCTCTCTTGGAATGACTGGTGGGTTTGGACTTCTGACCTTGTGGTTAGCCATCCAGTACTTATCCTACAATGGCACCAAGGCTTCTTTGTGTTGCTAAGTGCCATAGACTTGGTTCCAATTTAGCGATGCTGTATAGGGTTTCTGAGGAGCGGCTGGTGGATTTGAACTGCGAAACTTACAGTTCAAACCGACATTGCAGTCAAGTTAAGCCTGGCTTCCCCCAAAGCTCTTCAGAAGCTCAGTTTCAGACAAGACTCACCCCAGTGTCCCAGGCATTAAGTCTGATGCATTGACCAGCTCAAGAGCAAAAGAAGACATGGCCTTCAGCTCATCATCACCCTTGGCTGGGCTGGCCCTTTAAGGGGCCCATCCAGTTCAATCCAGTTGCTGCCTCAAATCACTCACATGTACAAAATCTTCTCTAACACTACCTTTTTCTTCCCCCAAATGATGTCAGAAGTAACTTAGAAACTATGCAGGATAAGAAGTTGGATAACAAGATGGATCAGCCAGGTGGCATCACTGATGGACTCAAGTGTGGCAACAGTAGTGAGGTTGGCCCAGGATCGGACATTGTTTCGTTCTGCTGTACATGGGGTCGCTATGAGTCGGTTCCGACTCGATGGCACCTGACAACAACAACAACAACAACAACAACAACAACTCCAAGCTTGGATTAGCTTTACTACATTTCTGACTTAATTCTTGCTCTCTTAATGGACTGAGCTCCACTTCCTGATGGAGTGGAATGACCCAATGCAAGGGTCCTTGTGGCCAAAGGAAGGCATGCAAGGTGGTGGCCCCAGTCTACCTGTGTGACCCTGAGCCAGTAACCCCCTAACCTAGTTTCTTCATCTATAAAATGTCATCAGTATTCTCCTTGCCATCCAAGGACTGAATGTGTGCTCTGTGAGGACCAGTTTACCTGAAGGTGATACCTCTTGTTGCTTTTGCAGGTACTGCTGTGCAGTTCAGTGGTCAGAGCTACGTGCGTTACCGTCTCCCAGAAACTCAGAACTGGAACATCCATTTCCGTCTGAAAACACTCCAGCCACAGGCCATTGTGTTGTTCACCAATGGGACAGTGTCTGTCACCCTGAGGGTAAGGTTCTGCTGGCCTGAGAGATTTCATGTGGCCTGCCAGGCTGGGAGTTGGAATGGAGTGTCTTAGTTTCCTAATGCCGTTATAACATGAATACTACCAATGAATGACTTTAAAGACCAGAACTTTCTTTTCTCATGGTTCAGGGCACTAGCTATAGGGGAAGGCTGTCTCTGTTGGTTCTAGGGGAAAAGTCTTGTCCTTTCCAGCAACCTTTGGTTCCTTCATAATCTTCACATGGCATCTAACTTTTCCCTATTTGTGCTTATTTTGGTATCTAGCCTGTTTGTTTGTTATTGTTGTTGTTTTAATAATTCAGAAATGAATAGTTTAGGATACACCCTACACTGATAATGGTTTCATTAACATAACAAAGTAGCGCTTGTTCACAAATGGAATTCACCAGCATAGAGGTTAGGATTCCAACACATATTTTTTGGGATGGGGGAACACAACAACTCAATCCATATCAGGGAGTGTGGGGGTGCAAGGCTTGAGGACAATCAAGTAGGCCAGTTTCTGGCAAAAAAAAAAAAGTCTTTAAGGATGCTGGATGCGATGACTAGGCCAGGACACAGGATTTTCCTGCTCAACGTCACGACAGCCATGCCACCTGGAGATATATGTTCATTGGCCAATCATCAGAGGCCTGGCTGTTCTGTAGCATAAGAGATCCTCTGAATATATACAGGTCACCTTGAAGCACTGTCTTTCCAGCACGGGAGGGTGGGCTGGCTACCACCAGGGTGCTAGACATGGCAGATTTAGCATTAACATAGGAGATACATGAATTTCCTTTTAGTAGTCTCTTCTAATGTATCACAGAGAGAGTCTCAGTTTTCCCTGTTTTTTTTTTTTTTTTTAATGTTTTATTGTGAATTATATGATAGTTTACATGGGAGAACATTCGTTTTACATTCATTCTATAGTATATAGTTTCATTGCCATGGTTCCAATCCCCTCCATGCATCATCAACCAACCAACCAAAGGGTATACACTGCAAACCTGCCCCCTACACTACCTCCTCCCCTCCCCACCCCGTCTCTAGTCTTCAGCACACAGTCGCTCTCCTTCTCTGGATCTAAAGTCCCCAGCTGCTCCATCACTCCACGTCATCGTCTCTGCCTCCATCTCAGGCATCCCTGTTTCTCTGGGTAGGGTCCCGCTCTCGGCTCTTCTCTGTTGATGGTCCTAGGGACCTCCACTCCTAGACCGGAAAGTTAATCACTCCCTTCCTTGCTATAAAGCATCTACCTTTACATTTCCAACCCTCACAATTATTCACTATTGTATCACAAGAGATCCATCTGCATTTCATTTCATCAGCTCCACCTAGACAGATTGGATAGTACTCACTGGAGTACTATCCTTCCTCCATGCCCCCTGGATCTGGGTTCCCTCTTGAAAGCTTGTAAGCCAGTCACTTCTTGCTTTTGTAGCCCCCCCCCCCCCCATTTTGGGTAGCCAATGTCCAAGTTGCCCATCCCTGTCTACTCTGGGTGTGGAGGGGGTGGGAATGATTCTTGCTGTAAGGATTTGTTCCCTCTTTTGAGTTACTTCATCCATCGGTGTAGGTAAGGTTCATCTTTCCTGGTTTTTAAGATTTCTATCCTATGTGCCAATCTCCCAAAGAGAAAGCAGATTTTGGCAGCTAGTTAGAATTTAATTCATTCAACAAATACTATGATGGTAGGCACTGTTCTAGGGGCTTGGGTCTCCTCATTGGTAAATGCCACAAAAGTCCTTCTGAGAGCTTTCATTGTATGAAGTGGAGGCTGACAATAAACACACAAGTGATAAATCAAAGAATGATGCAGTTTGTTCAAATGTGGGTTTTCTTTTCAGTTGGTTGGTGGAGTGCTCCAGCTGGACTATCAATGCCCAGGTGATTTCCATAGAAACCTTTCCTCCCGGAGCCACGTGAATGATCAAGAGTGGCACACCATCCTGCTGGAGAAGACCTCCAACTCCACTCACCTGTGGGTTGATGGTGCAAGAAATGACTTCCTTGTGCTCCCAGAAAACTGCCAGGGCCTGGAACCTAAAAGAGACCTCTTGTTGGGTGGCCTCGTCCCCTTGCATTCTTCCCAAAATGTCTCTCAGGGCTTTGAAGGCTGCCTGGATGCTGTTGTGGTCAACAGAGAGGCACTGGAGCTGCTGGTCCATGGCAGGAAGATGACCCGCTTGTTGGAGACGAAGGCCCTCACACAGTGCTGCCCCCTCAGTGATGACTGCAGCCAGGACAGGTGCCTCAATGGTGGGAAATGCTCCCAGACCCACAGAGCAGGTGAGGGCTGGGGGACAGGGCAGCGCCCATGTTGCCCACATACTCTTCACGGAACTCGGACACGTTGATCCGAGTTAATAAATAGCAATGTAGAGTTCACAAAGCATGTTCCTTCTCCACGCCTCATGAGGAAAGGAGGAAGGAGAACCACAGAGTTGTTCCATTTTACAGCTCAGAAAGTTGCTGGGCTGTGAAAGGGATGCTTAGGAAAAGGAGTTTGTCCAAGGTCATAAGACTAATCAACAAGAGCGGTTTGTTCTGGTTGGGGATTGCAGTGGAGAACGCTTGCCTCCTGATTCCAGAGTTCCCGCTTTCCCTTGCCATCTTGTAGCGAATGGGTTGGGATCTGCCAAATCTATGCTAGGAAGAGGCAGGAGTCGTTCCCCTCTATTTAAACTTTCTTTCCACTTTGTTTTGGGTATGTGTGTGTGTTGGGGGTGGGGGGGGCGTGGAACATAAATAGGGATGCAGGTGTACAGAGTTGAGTTAATCCCACACTTTGGTGTCATCATTGCTACATGAAAAACCTCTTTCTCATATTCCCCTTTAAGGCACTCTGGTAGTGTAGTGATTATGAGTCAGGCTGCTAATCTCATGGTCAGCATTCGAAACTACCAGCTGTTCCGTGGGAGAAAGATGAGGCTTTCTGCTCCCATCAAGATTTACAGCCTCAGAAACCCTATATAAGGTCACTATGAGTCGGAACTGACTCCACAGCACATAACCATGTTCCCCTTTAACCTATATCCCATTCTATTCTCCAGCTCACCCCATATGGAAACACTTAAAGCTTTTATTCTCTTTATCACATACTGGCATTTTTAATTTATGCTAACCTGGTGGCATGTGAAGTACTGAAAGGTTGGTGGTTAGAACCCTCCTAGCCATGCTTCAGGACTCCTGGTGTGGTGCTGTGGGATAAAGTACTGGACGACAAGGTCAGTTTGAACCTCAAAGTTGGTGGTTCAAACTCACTAGCTGTTCCTTGGAAACCCTATACAAAGTCACTGTTAGTCGGAACTGACTGGATGACACTTAACAACATTAACAAGCAATGCTTCAAGAGAAAGACCTGGTCATTTATTCCTGTAAAGACTGAACTAAACCAAGTCAAACCAAACCCGGTACCATCAAGGGGATTCCAATTCACAGAGACCCTATAGCAACCCTAGAAAACACAGGGGGTCAGTTCTCCTCTGTTCCCTGGGGTCACTCTGAGTTGTGATCTACTCAGTGGCACCTAACAACAACAACTGGTATATAATATTTTATATTTTCACTCAGCAATGTATTTTTAAGATGCATCCATGCTGTCATGATTATACCTTACTCATTGCTTTCAATTTCTCCTCCATGCTGTGCCTGAAGCCACATTTTTCCTCTCCATTCTCCTAGTGAAAGATGGACACCTGGGCTTCAAAGTCCCACCTCCCTCACTAATACTAAAGTGTGCTTCTTCAGGCATGTCCCCTACGCGCCTAAGGATTTCTTTCTCTCTCTCTCACACACACACACACACATTCCAATCAGAGATATAATTCATGTGCCCAGATATAGTGAACTTGACTAAACAGGGCCAGACTGCTCTCCAACATGCATGTGCATGGATTCCTATGCCCTCGTATCCCCATCAATACTTGGCATTAGTCCATTTTCTAGTTTTTGCCAGGCTGATCATATGGAGCCTGTCCATCACTTCTTTCTATCACATTATTCTGGTCAAAGTCTTCATCATCACCAACTTTTTCTGGGTTAGGTACAACTCACCTCCCTGTTCTTCTCCAGGGTCTTTCCCTCCATTCTGTCTTCCACTAGGAAGCCACAGTGATCATTATAAAATGTAGATCTGAACATGTCGCTCTCTTGCTGAGAACTTCTCAGTGGCTCTTCACCACTTTTAGGATAAAGTCCAAAGTTCTGATGTTGTGGCCCCACTTCCTTCTTCCCAGACTTGTAGCTAGTTCCCCATATCTCCTTTGCACACTCGGTTAACCCTTTTGGCCCCTTGTTAGCACCTTGAGCATACAGTACCCTCTCCTTGCAACCTGAAACACCTTCCTCTTTGTCCCTCCTTCCTTTTCCCCACCCCTGGACTAATATTAATTTAGAGTCCTGGTGTGGTGCTGTGGACTAATGCGTCAGACTGCAAAATCATTTCAACTGCAAGGTTGGTGGTTCAAGTTCACCAGCTGCTCCTTGGAAACCCTATACAGGGTCGCTATGGGTTGGAATCGACTTGACAGCACTTAACAACAACAGTGTTACCTTATTCTTTAGGTCTCAACCTCCAATAGGAGACCTTTCCTGATCTCTGGTCTAGGCTAGGTCACCCATACTTCCCTTTCAACAATAATTTCTATTGCAATTGTGATATACTGCTATTGCATATAATTATCTAGGTTTGAGTTTGAGCTTTGTCATTTGCAAGCTATATGACCTCGAGAAGACGTTGTATCTGTCTCCTGATGAGAAACCAGTCTCAGAATTGTCATGAGGATCAAATGAGCTAAGAAGATGCTTAAAACAGTGACTAGCATTATTTTAGTACTTGTTTTAGTTATCTGTTGATACGATAGCAAATATGCCACAAGTGGATGCTTTAACAAACCTAAATTTATTCTCTCTTAGTTTGTTGTTGTTAAATGCCATTGAGTTCATTTCCATTCACAGCAACCCGAGGCACAACAGAACGAAACACTGCTCAGACCTTTGAACCCATTGTTGCTGTCACAGTGTCAATCCTACTCTTTGGGGTTCTTCTTTTCCACTGACCCTTCACTTTATCAATCATAATGTCTTTCTCCGGGAACTGTTCCCACCTGATAATATGTCTGAAGTATAAGTCTCACCATCCTGTCTTCTAAGGAGCATTCTGGCTGTACTTCTTCTAACATAGATTTGTTTATTCTTCTAACAGTCTATGATACTTTTAATGTTCTTCTCCAACACCATAACTCAAACGCATTGGTTATTCTCCTGTCTTCCTGTTTCATTGTCCAACTTCCATATGCACACAAGGCAATTGAAAAATACCATGGCTTGGAACAGGCATACCTTAGTCCTCAAACTAATATCCTTGCTCTTGAACACTTTGAAGAAGTTCTTGGCAGCAGATTTGCCTAATGCAATAAGGTGTTTGATTCTTGACTGCTGTTCCTATGAGTGTTGATTGTGGGTCCAAGCAAAATGAATTCCTTAGCAACTTCAGTCTCTTCTCCATATATCATGATGGCATTCATTAGTCCGATTATGAGGATTTTTGGTTTCTTTACATGGAGGCAGAGTACATATGTACAGATTCCTCATGAACACAATTAAGTATTCTGGAATGCCCATTCTTCACAATGTTATCCATAGTTTGTCTCAATCCACACAGTCAAAAACTTTTGCATAGTCAATAATACACAAGGAAACACCTTTCTGGTATTCTCTGCTTTCAGCCCAAACTATCTGATGTCAGCAATGATATCCCTGGTGCCACTTCCTCTTTTGAATCTGACTTGAATTTCTACCAGTTTCCTGTGCTGTTGAAACTGTTTTTGAATTATGTAAAATTTTAGTTGCATGTGACATTAATGATATTACTCAATGTTTTCCATTATTCCCTTGGGTCACCTCTCTTTGGAATGGGCACAAATATGGATATTTTCCAATAATTTCTGAGTGAGTGCCTTCAGTGCTACATCAGCTTGGTGAAAGATTTCAATTTGTATTCCACCAATTCCTGGAGTCTTGTTTTTTGCCAATGCCTTCTATGTAACTTGGACTTGTTTTTTAAGTACCATTGGTTCTTGATTGTATGTTGCTTCTTGAAATGACTGAACATTGATCATTTCTTTTTGGCACAGTGACTCTGCCTATTCCTTCTATCTCCTTTTGATACTTCTGCATCATTCAATATTTTGCCCATATATCCCTTCAATATTTTAAGTTAAGGCTAGACTTTCTTTGTTCAGTTCTTTCAGTGTGAGAAATGCTGAACCTGTTCTTCCCTTTTGGTTTCCAGGTCTTTGCATATTTCATTTTAGTACTTTATTTTGTCTTCTCCAGCTGTCCTTTGAAATGTTCTGTTAAACTCTTTTACTTCCTCATTTCTCCTATTCACTTTACCATCTCTACACTGGAGAACCAGTTTCAGAGTCTTTTCTGGCATCTATTCTGATCTTTATTTTCTTTCCTATCATCTTCTTGATGATGCTCTTGATGCCATCTCACAAATCTGGTCTTCAGCCATTATTGTCTACTGCATCAAATCTGTTCTTGATATCATCTCTAAAGTCAGGTAAGATTTATTCAAGGTTGTATTTTGGCTCTCATGGACTTGCTTTAATTTTCTTCAGCTCCAGGGTGAACTTGTGTATGAGCAATTGGTGGTCAAGTGGTGGTCTCACAGTTTAGGAAGCTAGAATTCCAAAATCAGGGTGCCAACTCTAGGGAAGGCTTTCTTTTATTGTTCAGTGTGGGCCCGGGTTCTTGTCTCTTCGGCTTCTGTTTTCTGTTTCCTTAGAGATCTCCATTTGATTTGGCAGCTGTCTTTCCCCCATCTGGCTTGCTCAATCTGCTCCTTTTATCTCTTAAATGAGATTCACAAAACAGACTTTACACTGACCCTACCTCATTAGCATAACAAAAACCCATTACCAAATGAGATTATCACCACAGACGTAGAGGTAGAGGTCAGAATTTAATAACACGTATTTTGGGGAGACAATTTAATCCATGTTGTTGAATGCTGTCAAGTTGGATCTGACTCATAGCTACTCTGTATAGGGTTTCTGAGAGTGGCTGGTGGTGAAAACCTTATGAATAACAGTGGAAGTCATTCAAGAGCCATTTCTATTGAGTGCTCCATCTGGGCCTACACCATGTTGAGTACTGATACCCTGCTGAACAAGAAGTCTTGGTCCCTGATCTTGACCAATTTATAGTCTAATTTATAGACATCTAAAGGAGCTCTGGTAGCATAGTGGTTATGAATTGGGTTGCTAATCTCACGGTCAGCAGTTCAAAACTACCATCTGGTCCATGAGAGAAAGATGAGGCTTTCTACTCCCGTAAAGATTTACAGCCTTGGAAACCCTGTACAGGGTCTCTATGAGTTGGAACCAATTCCATGGCACACAACAACAACAACAAAAGAAGAATGGTCAGCACTTCCTGAGTATTGAATGAGCCCTGGTGTGGTGCTATAGGATAAGTACTGAACTGTGAAGCACTTCACACTCAATAGAAGTGGTTCTTGAATGGCTTCGTGAACATGAAATGCACATAGACCAAGGCCACTCCTCAGCCCAGAGGGCCTTTCACTCTGGGACTGCCTACCTGCTCAACCAGTGTGCTCTCTCCCCCTCCTTCTTTTTCTCATAGGCTATGTTTGTGAGTGTCCCCCACAGTTCTCTGGGAAGCACTGTGAACAAGGAAGGGAGAACTGCACGTCTGCATCCTCCCCTGAAGGAGCTTCCTGTAGCTGTCCTTACCCTTACACGGGAGACAGGTGAGCGAAGGAGTGGCCACCTGCAATTGGCTCTTTACCCAGGGTTTAACACCACTAAGAAATGACCTGTGCACTTTGACTTAGAGGTCAGTGGAGGCTAGGGGATGAGTCTTCTCCATGTGTTAAGATGGCTCATTCAAGTCTTTCTTAGAGTCATTCTTCTACCACCTGCATCATGGGGGAAGGTGCTTGTTAATAGACAAATTCCCTAACTCTACTCTGAACCACTAAATTGGACTCACTGGGTTGGGGCCCAGGAATCTGCACTTCTAATTATTTCCTTAGGAGCTTCTGATCTTCGCAGAAGACTGAATATTACAATTTTTGTTAGTTTGCTCTGTGCTATGACTTCCCAAAAAGTGGCCTGGGGACAATGATTCCACTTGGCATAGGCACTGCTGTGAGACTTAAGCCCTCACTGCATGCTAACAGAACCTAGTGCTATGCTGTGCTTGGGGGCTTTCAAGGAAGGAAAGTTACTTTGAAATCCCTAAAGATCAAAGGCTTTGAAAATCACCTGTTTCTAGAGTTCTCCAACTTGGGAACTTAAAAAAAATAATTATCACAAGAGAAACTATGGAAAACAAAATAGATTGCTGGACCCGACATGACCAACTAAATCAGAATCTCCAAGGAATGGTACCTGGGAATCTCTTTTTAACAAGCAATCAGGGATTCCCTAGCTGTCAACCTTGGCATCTGCATAGCACAGCCAATGATCTTAGTCCAGCCCACCAGTTTAAATGTGGGGTAACTGAGGCAAAAAGAGGGAAAGGACTTGCCCATTATTATCCTGTGTGTTTGTGTGTTTAAGTCCTTTATCTCAGCAGCTGGTATTTCCTGTCCAACTTCTGCCTCGTTTTGCAGTAGGGAAGGGTGTCCGTTCATTAAGATGCTTCATATTTGAAAATGGCATTTGCATTTTAAAAGAGGAATCTGGAGAGAACAATACTTGATTCCAAAATACAAATTGGTGCTGGTGATATTTCTGGCACAGGGATATGTTTTAGACTGAGTGGAGTAGCAGGATCTTTCCCCCCAAAAAATCTTTCAAATGTGGGTAAAGTTGGCTGTAAGAAAAAATGCCTAGAATCTTTACACCATGGACTGCCAAGCAGAAAATTATCTGAAAGGTCACATGGCTCAATTAATTTCTCTGAGAAAGTTACCCAGTGTGAGAAGTTGATCAATGCAGGGCCATGGTGGGCCCCTGTGATCTTCTAGTGAAGACTAGTGGGTACCACTGGTACCAGGTACCAATGCTGGATGACTGGATCCTGACATTATTGGAAAGGATGGCTGGGTAGGTCAGAAGACTTTCCCTCAGTACTGTGACTGGAAATCTGACCTCATTGCTACAGAGTATGCCCAATGTCTAGCTCTCATTGATGGGAAATAATGGATGTGCCCACATATCAGTTCTTACTGGTCAAGCATATGGATGCAGCTGAGGCTCATGCTGTACTGGTGGAGGATGGAGAGTAAGTCTGGTGTTTGAGAAGTCTCTTTGTCTATTAGAAAGTAGAAGATAGTAGGTGGGAGTGTGGCAGTCTCCATCCCATAGATCTTTGCAAGAAGAGACGGAGTGGGCAGTACAGTGACCTGGTCCTCTAATTTCTCTGTATCTACAGGTGTGAAATGAAGGCAAGAGGTTGCTCAGAAGGAGAATGTTTAGTCACTCCTAATATCAAAAGAGGGGACTGGGGACAGCAGGAGTTACTGATCATCATAATGGCAGTACTGGCCATTTCCTCCATTGTGGCCATTTTTGGGCTTCTCGTCTACTGCTTCCGTTGCAAGTCTCACAAACCTGTGGCTATGGAGGACCCAGACCTCCTGGCTAGGAGCATTGGTGTTGATACCCAAACCATGCCTATCATCGAGCTTAACCCCCTGAACACCAGCTCCTGTAACAACTTGAACCAAGAAGAGCCCAGCAAGGCTTCAGTCCCGAATGAACTCGTTACCTTTGGACCCAGCTCCAAGCAACGTCCAATGGTCTGCAGTGTGCCTCCCAGACTCCCACCTGCTACAGTCCCTTCCAGTTCCGACAATGAGCCCATCATCAAGAGGACCTGGTCAGGTGAGGAGATGGGTCAGTACAGCCAGAGGTCCTTAGCCTCTGGGATTGATGCATGGGGCAGGAAGACCTATACACTCCTATTATCTAAAGCACAAGGGTTTTTGCCCACCATCTGTCCCTTGGGATGGGGTATGAAGGGATGTGTTCAAGGTACAGTGCACTGATGACTGAGTTAGATGCCAGGTCTCTTGACTCAGCAGCTGGGGTCCATTCAACAATACCAAAATCCATTCTTGTAAATTCCAATTCACTCCATAGGATTGGTATCTATTGCAGAAATCTATAGACCCTTTTGGTATGGGTGGGTAGAGTTTCTGGAGTAAAAATGGGGATTTCACACATTTAGACTTTTCTGGAAAGAAAAAGAAAAGCATGATCAAGGCTTCTAGTTGCCCTGTCTGGAGGTGGAGCAGCATTGGGCCCAGCCTAGCTGGTGTGGAGGAGAGAATTTCACACTTCTCTCCAGTTTGGGCTCAAAAAGAAGTGAACCTGTAAAGTACTTTGTATTTTCTGACATAGTCACCAGTAGTTAAACTGGCTATTTTTAGGGTTTTTTTTTTGGAGGAATAGGGTAACTGGAACCCATAAAAATGAAGTAAATTATTGTAATTTATCAACCTATTCAGTGTTAGGGACAGAGCTAAGACCAAGGCCTCCTGGTCTCCTGATTTCCAAGCCTCATTGCTTTGCATTACATAACCGTCAGTGGACTCTATCACACATCCTAGTACCAACTGTGTGTCTGACCCTTTTCCTTAAGGAGATGAAGCTCACCAGTAGGCCTTGGGATGATACCAGTGTTTCCAGCAGTGGGAATTGGCTACATGGGGCCATCTATCTCCTTCCCTTGTTCACTGGGCATTGGATCAGTGGCATAGATTAGCAAGATGGGATGGCTTTGGGTTAGACCTCTGGCTTTAACATCCTCTCATTGGGTTCCAGACATCAAGCTAAGCCACCAGAGGCAACACACACACATGGATGGGCTGCCTGTGCTCCCCCACTCCTTTGGCTATCTCACTGCCCTGCTGAGTTACAGATAGCTGTAAGGCCAGCTGTAGTCTTTGCTGGGGAAATTTGGAACTCACCCTAACCTGCTTTTCCCTTTCAGTGTATCCAGGTGGAGCTGCAGTTTGGCCCCCTACTTACTCCAGGAAGGAATGCTGGGAGTATCCCCATGCTGACGTGATCCAGGGTCCTCTGCCTCCCTCGCCTCATCACCACTCAACCCCAGCCATGATGCCAGAGCCCAATGGCCTCTATGGGGGTTTTCCCTTCCCACTGGGGCTAGAAAACAAGCGGGCCCCCCTCCCACCCCGTTACAGCAATCAGAACCTGGAAGATCTGATGCCCCCACAGCCCCACAGCCCCCGGGAGCGTCTGCTCGACCCCTGTCTCAATGAGTACACAGCCATTAGCTACTACCACTCACAGTTCCGGCAAGAAGCGGGAGGGCACAGACTGGCAGAGGGGGGCTATAAGGGGGTAAGTATGCGGCTCAGCCGTGCGGGGCCCTCTTATGCCGACTGTGAGGTAGAGGGTGGGCCTCCCACTGGCCGGGGCCAGCCCCAGGCCCCCCCGCACTATGAGGGCTCTGATATGGTGGAGAGTGATTACGGCAGCTGTGAGGAGGTTATGTTCTAGCTCCCTGGATCTCTGAGGTAGGCAGGTGTGAGAACAAGGCCTTGGCCTTTTTCTCCTGCCTCACTCCGAGTGAGTTGAGCATGGCTGGGCAAGTGGGAGGAAGCTTCCATACTCAGTGCAGGCTGCCATCCTTGAAATGTGCTCTTCCGGTCCCCAGCTGGTCCCCAGGGTGGAGGGAAGCTGAGGGTAGAGCTCCAAAAACAACACAAGGCCCCAGAGGGGAGGAGGCACAGAGCAGTCACCCTCGGAAGGCTAGGAAAATAGCCCTGGGATGGGTGTGTTAGTGAGTTGCTCTCACAGGCCATCTCTCAGTCCCAGGGAGACAGGGTCTGAGCTCCTGGGTCAGCTGTTCAAGAACGCGTCCTCATGTCTGTCTAAGCTCCGTTCTGAGGTAGAAACAGGCTTGTGCCTAGCAGGTAACCATCACATCCACAATTAGAGGTATGGTCCAGGCCTTCCATCCCTGGAGGGCCATGGGTGTCCTCCTAGGGTCTGAGAGGTGAGCAGCAGACAAGCAGGTACCTGTGTACCTGCCTCAGTCAACATCCCATGGGTGTTTCTTAAGTGCCTGCTCCTTGTCAGGCACCAGTGAGGCACTCAGATGTAATGGAGAATGAGAGGACAAGGTTATGTGAAGTATCACTCTAGCCTCAGGCCCCGGGGGCCCTACTCTTCCAGCCCAGACACCAGGGAACCCGCTCCCTCTCTGCAAGTCACATGACTTTCTACAGCCAGGGTCTACCCTGAAACTTCTTCATTCAAGAATTCAGACCTCATAGAACTCTGGGCTCTTCATCCCGAGTTTCCCAGGCACTTTGGCCAAAGGCAAGAAGGAATTAATTCTTGATTCTAAAATTCAAAGGCACTTTTCAACCTTGCTGTCTGGATAAGTTTCCCCAAAGGGACTTTTATTCCCTAGACACAAGGAACTCAGAATTCCCACTCAGGGCAGGGGTGAGGCAAAGAGCCAGATCCCAATTGATACCCTGCCCTCCCCTGTCTGTCCCTCCATCTCAGATGCCTGCCAATCTAAGTGTTAACCTGCAGTGACTCAACCCTATGCATGGAGGGTCAATGTGGGCACGTGTCTACACATATGGACACCCATGGATGTATATAGTGTGTTCATACGTGTAGAGTGTATGTAGCCAGGAGTGGTGGGAACCAGAGGCTCCTGTCCTGTTCACATCACCACTCCATCTCCCGACATTCTTCCCTCCGGTCCACTGCCTTTTCATGTGTGTTGTTTCTGGAGACAAAGCCAGAAGGAAGAGCAAGGGGGACTGTTACCCACAGGGTCTATGTGGGCTGTGTGGGTGAGTCTTAGCTCTGTGAATGGATCTCAGCTGTGTGTGTAATTGTGCGTGTGAGTGACGGTGTGCATGGTTTCAGGTTTTTTTTTTTTAACAATAAAATATTTTTTTTACTGTTATTTTCTGTGTCACTTCGCCTGTTTTGGATTTGGGCCAGAGGGTGGATAGGAGGATCTACAGGCCCTGCCAAGTTAAAGACTTGGATCCGGGAACTGGAAGAGACCATAGAGATCATGAAGCACAGTGATGCCCAAACGCGGCAGTATCACTCAGGGAAACTGCAAAAAATGCAGATTACTTAGATTTAGCCTGATGGTACAGTGTTAAAATGCTTTGTTACTAACCGAAAGCTTGGTGGTTTGAACCCACCAGCTGCTCCATGGGAGAAAAGTGTGGCAGTCATCTTCTGTAAAGATGGACAGCCTTGGAAATGACATGGGGCAGTTCTAGCTGATTTAATTCCTGATGTTGCTTATTCTGAAGACTATAGAGGAAAGGGGACTTGTCTGGGGACACACAGCTAGACTGTCACAGAAGTTGACACCGAGCCTGACAATCTTCCCAAAGAACCACATAGTCTCCTCTGAATGGGGATGAAGTCTCTCCAGACCAGCTTCCTCCTTGTTCCCCTGACCTGCAGCATCAGGACGAACCACCAGAGGGCACTCTTGCATATTATTGAGTATGCGGGAGACTAGGATTGTCAGGGCAACTCTCCCATTTCAAACCACTGAGGTCTCTGGTCTAAACATCCTGAGTCTGACACAGCATAAAGGAGGTCTGGCCACCAAAAATAAATGTGCTTCTTTTTTTTTTTTTTTAATCTTTCACCATAACATCCTCATCAAAGGTCATAAGGCAGATTGTTCTCTTTTCTTTTTCCCATTCTAGGCATTTCCTCTTAAAATGTCCTACTTTTCCACATTAAAAGTAACTGTTTTCTCCTCTGTCTGTTCTTTGGGTTCCCCTCTCCTCCAGTTTTGTCCTGACTGTGGGGGTTGGGATCCCAAGGGGCATCGGTTAATCGTCCTCCACTGAGTTGCCTGCCCGAAAGTAGACAACACAATTTTAATCTTCTCTTCCTGCTACTCTTCATCCCACCTTACATAAACCTTTTGAGCTTCCCTTAACAGTTCTTCCATAGACCTGTCTTTCTAGTTTTCTATCTTTTGGAAACTTTTACAGATATCAGGCCAACTATTAGTGACTAAATGGAGCTTTAACACTCTCTGGCCCAAAGGATCATCTGGGTCTAAACTGGCTTATTTCCTCATTTGCCTTATAAGTCTGTCTAAAAACTCTGCAGGTTCTTTATCTTTTCCCTGCTGCACATCAAAGGCCTAAGAGACATTTTGGGACTGGGGAACTGATTCTTGGATTCCTTTAATTATTATCTGTAAAATTGAAATCTTTCAAGAAAGTGAGGCAGCACAAGAGGCACTC